GCCTGTGCGCGCGCGTGCACATGTGTGTATATATGTGAGTATGCACGCGTGTCTGTGTGTGCGTGTGTGCATGTATGTGTGTGCATGTGTGTATATGCATGTACGTGCATGTGCTTGTGTGCACTTGTGTATGTATGTGTGTGCATATGTATGTGTGCTTGCACATGTGTATGTATGTGGTGCACACGTGCAAGTGTAGGTGCATGCATGTGTGTGCCTGTGCATGTGTGTACACACATGTCCAGAAGGACAAACTTCCCCCAGACTTACACCCCCACCCCCAACATACCTGTCTCACAGGTAGGACACATGGCTGCTGGTGACCCAGGGGTGTGTGAGTCGCTGCGAGGATGGGAAACCAAGTAGTTGAGGCTGGGCTGTTCCACTTGTGAGGGCACTTGGGCTTTGGGCATGATTGGCTGCGAGGAGGTGGCCATGTGGGCGCACAGCAGCTCTGGGTGGGAGCCTGGAGAGAGCCTGGGCACAGGGAGGACCTTGCCCATAGGTCGACTGGCTGCAGGAATGATCCCAAGTGAGGGATCTTCTCTGGTCAGGAAAGCGGTGCCCAGAGCTGGCCTCCACCCCCGGGAGCACTTTACAGGAACTTTCCAGGTTTGATTCTCAATGGTTTCTGTTTGGAGGCCACCCCCAGGGCTGACTCCTGGCTCTGCACTCAGGGCTTACTCAGGCAGTGCCTGGGGGACCACATGGGGAACCGGAGATGGAGCTCCCTACCCACTGGACTATCTCTCCTACCCCAAATTCTCAACTTTTGAGGGCGTGGGTTTTACATGGGTGGTGCTCAGGGTTTACTCCTGGCTTTGCACTCAACAGTGTTTGAGTTATGAGTGTCTGGGCTGAGGAAATGTTCTCAGGAGATTGTGCTGTACCGCTTGTCATACCCTAGGTGTCGCCCTTGGAGAGGACGCTTGGTGTGGAGACCAGGACGTCTCTGCAGGGAGCTGGTGTGTGAAAGCGAGTCTGCATCAAACTGATGCCCGAGCCTCCTGCAGGTGAGGGGCACGTGGTCTTTGGGGGCATCCAGCTCTTCGTTAGGGAGGTGTCATAGCAGACAGCAGTACTGACAGCAGCACTGCTGATGTGTCCCTGCGACCCGTCCCACCACCCCTCCTCTTCCCTTCCCCAGCCCACTCGCGTCCCAGTTCTGTCTGTCACGTCTCGGGGTGTTTCCCTGGGACTCCTCACTTCCTCTTTCTGTGTTTTTACTTGGCTTCAGGTCTTCGTCTTGTCCTTTGACTCGCTTGAGTCTGCCTGCATCTCTCCCCTGCAGGACTTCCCTTCCGCTGCCCGGCAGATGTGCCACCTTCTTCTTCCTCTGTCTTCTGCAGCACTTGGGTCTGCATTAGCGCCAGGCAGATGCGGGGCTGCAGTTCTTTGGGCGAGCACCCAGGGCTGGAATGGCAGAGAGGAAGGGGCCTGGGATCACCCCGGGACCCGGGGAGGCTGACTGAGAAGACGGGACAAGGTGGCCAGAGAGAAACGGGATCAACCTTTGAGCATTTTTCTAAGAGGATGTGGCTCCGGCATCAGATATGAAGTTTCCTTGCAGTGTTGGTTGGTGCAGCTGGCTGCCGAGATGGTCCCAAGGGTGCCGGCTCAAATCCCCTGCCAAGGGCCCCCCCACGGAGAGGCTGGAGCCCAGAGTGGGCTTGTGGTGATTCACATCTGAAAGTGAACCCAGGCCCCAGCATGCTGGTTAGGGGTGGGGAAGGTGGGTAGGGGGAGTTGCAGAGTGGGGGGGCTGGGTGAGAGACTGTGGAGAAGATGGGACCCCATGGGCAGGTTGAAAGGCCCAGCTGAGGCAGCCAGGAGGCAGAGATGAGGCGAGGACAGTGCTGATGTCTGTGGGTCTGTCTGCCTGTCGCAGAAGGCAGAGCAGCAAGGTGGGAGTGACGTAAGGTCAGGAGAATTGCCAGAAGGAAGTGGCCTAGCATGGGGGGGAAATATGGGGGGGTTGGTGAACCCCAGCACCCCCTCAGGTATAGGTGCTCTGCAGCAGGGCAGGATGTGGATCCAGCTTTGGTATCTTGGCGTCATTTCCCCAGTGCCTGAGTTTGCTGATGGGTCCCTGGGTTCGCGCCCAAGGTTCCTCAGGTCTGGGTGTGGGCTTTGTTCCTCAGTCTGGCCAGCCCAGCCTGGCAGTGGTGTAAATGGGCACCTGTCTCTTAAGGGGACACCTCCTTGGTGCATGGGACAGGTGGGAATTCTTCCTTTCCACAAACAAATGTGGGGTCCTCAGTTTTCTCTGCATGCATGTGTCTCTGTGGCGTTCCTGTTATCCTGGTTATGTGTGTCAGGCACTTAGGACTGTGTCACTTTACTCCTTATTCTGCTGCAGCGGAGTTGGGACCCCCAGAACCACCCCCATCCTGAGCCCGGGAGCTGACTGGGGGTCCCTGTCCAGTGTCATGGGACATCTCACTCCCGAGTAGGGGCTGGGGGTCACTTCACTGAAATGTTTGCAAGTATTGCAGTTTGTGGGCTAAGCCAAAAACCTTCTTCAGAAAACTGGTGAAATTCTACTCATCGTGCTAATGTCTAATTCAGAGTCAGTGATTTGTCTTTCCTGGTTCCTGTTGTTGTATCGTGGCTCAGCAAGGTGTTGTCTTGGGGGAAGCGGGTGGGAACTCTTGGTTTTATAACAGTGCCAACTCTTATCTAAGCATAAATTAATTGCAAAATAAGTCTAAGATGTGTACAAAGTACCATAGCCTGGTTTTTATGGCAGTAAAACTAATGCCTCTATCGACCGCCAGTTTGCAAGCTCCGGTTTTTATTGGGGATTTTTGTTCATTCCAGTGCTGGGTTCAGCACCTTTGTTTGACATAGCAGATAGTGGTAAACACGAGGGCTCTAGTTTGAGGAATATTTATGACTTTGAAACTTTTTTTTCCTTCTTTTATAATACAGGTTTTGTGAGAAAAGGAAGCTGTTCTACTTCTAGATTTTCTTTTTCCTTTTTTTTTTTTTGAAATCGAAACATCTCAATATGGAAGCCTAAAATCCTTAAAAGGGACTTAGTCTGATCTCCGGGAGGTAGTTCTGTGCATGAATAAAGAAAAAAAATTAAGTAGTTATTTGTAATTTTTGGCATCCAAAAATACCAGTTTACAAATTTGATTAGGAGGCCTAATGTGGTGGCAATGATGAACTTGGTTTTGCATTGGTCTCCTGGGTGCAAAGGACTGTGATTGGATGGACAGTGTCTCAAATCCACTCTTTTTGAAATTGGCCCGGCCACCTCCTGGCTGCTATGTGAATCCCCGCAGAAGGCTGTGCTTGCTAAAGTTCAAAAATGAGTAATAATTGTCTTGAGCCAAGAGTTAACAGTCAGCCCTCCACTAAATTACAGAAATGTACAAATGAGACCTTTGGGGCATCAGCAGACTTCTGTAATGACCAAGAAATGCTCACAGAACTTTTTGATAAGTACAATAAATTTAGAGAAAGAAGAGAAAATCAACATGATGATTGGTGAAGAAATTATCAGACCATTCATAACTATGATTATCTTAAAACTCTAACATTTCATTTGTTTCAATGGGCTGGTATCTATATCTCTGAGATTATGATAAGAATGAGAATGACTCATCTCTAATGGCTACATTTTGTTAAAAGAACAAACAACCTTTACTGCAGGAAGAAAATTTACAAAGGCAATAATGCACAATGGGAAGTTGACTTTTTTTTAACATGTAACAGTTTTGAGCAATGAAGGAGACTAGAAATCAGGCCATATGACTCATCTTTGAAGGAAATAGTCACAGATAATGAGATCTATTTCTCTTGCCCCCTGAAATTAAAGCATTAGAGTCTGCATCAGAGAATCCCATTATCTCTGCCACCCAGGAAATTGTCACTGAGAAAAAAAAATGACGTTCTATTGGTTATTGCTGATATGATTGATGCAGAACTTAGAATCATAACTGAGTAACCCTAAATTTGGTGGATTATGACAAAGTAGGTTTATCATTTTTTGTCATAATAAATTCTGGTTCAGGGTAAGCTGTCTGTGTAATAATTTCTGACACAAGCCAAATTTGTATGCATTGTCCATCTTAGCCTATAATCTCATGCTTTGAATTTTTATAGTTTTTAAAAATGAATTCTTTATTAGAGGAGGTTTGATTTTGGTTCTCCACAGCTTGAATCTGAGCCTAGAACACCATGTGAGCGGATATACTGATACCTTATTTTAAATAAAATGCTTAATTTGCTGGCTTCTAATGATATCACAAGAATCTTGAGTATCAATGAGAAGTTACTTGCTATCCAATCAGTCTTGAAATGGGGCAACGTAGGTCAAGGCTAGATTGCTTCTATAGGGTCGGCCTGTATTGTTGCCACCTGTAGTCTTCATTTGGAAGAAAATTTTAGATTGTTTTCTTCTTTTTATCAGTCACTCAGCCCCAAGCACCACCAGGTGTGGCCCCCAAACAAAACAACCTCCCAAAATGATTGTAAAAGAAAAATTACACTATGAACAGCTCAGTATATACTATATTTCATTGTGTCTGTGATGTAATCAGCTATAAGACACCACCATTTTGTTAATCTCTAGGAAATAATGAAAACATGATGTGCAGTTCTAAGATAGCTCTTGGTAACACAGATGTTAAAACATGCATCTTAGGATTTTTGTGCATTCCTTTCCTTTTTTGAGGTAGACCCTGTGCGCGCTCTCTCTTTTTTTTTTTTTTTCGACTACGAAATCTCAGTACTTAAAAAAAGCAAGGCACACATAGTTTGAATATTTTTTCTGGAGATCACTTAGAGAGCCCTGCTTTCTGCCCTGAGACAAGCTGCCCATGTGAGTCACACATTTTTATCTTCAGGCTGGCTGAACATCTGCAAATCTGTTTAGTGATGTAGAGAAGTCGACTCAAGTGGAGTCATTGAGATCCCAGAGCATGGTCATTTCTAGAAAGGGTTTGGGTTTTTATCCCTGGTACCGTGCCGTGTGGAAAGAGTCCTCCTTGCATATGACTGCCCCTTAAAGTAGACCAGTGTTCTTGAGAATGTCACCATCTGAAACCTGGCATGCAGGGAAGTAAAAAGGAGGAAAGATTTCCTCACTGAGGGATTGACCCTTGGACCCAAATGAAGAAACTCAAACGCATGCACAGAACTACCTCCCCAGAGGAAGGCTAGTCCCTTTTCCTCCCCTCCCTTTCATCATGAACATAGTAGAAAGCAGCGAATTCTTATCAAATTTGATGAAGAACGCCGCCACATTTGAACTGAAATATGACTTTTCCTGCGAGCTCTACCGGATGTCCACGTTCTCCACCTTCCCGGCCGGTGTGCCTGTCTCGGAAAGGAGCCTGGCTCGCGCGGGCTTTTATTACACCGGTGCAATGGACAAGGTCAGATGCTTCTGCTGTGGCCTGATGCTAGATAATTGGAAACAAGGAGACAAACCTGTGGAAAAGCATCGGAAGCTGTACCCCAGCTGCAGCTTTATCCAGAATCTAAATTCCTCTCTCGTCCCTGGGGCCTCTGTTCATCCAACTTCTCCTTCGGAGCCCGAGTCCACACATTCCCTGCTCCCAAGTTGGGAAAACAGTGGCTATTTCAGTGACTCTTATTCAAGCTTTCCATCAAACCCGGTGAACTCCAGACCAAATCAGGACCTCTGCCCCCCAGGAATGGAGCCTTCCCCCTGTGCAATGGACACCGAGAAAGCCCGGCTGCTGACATTCGGGACGTGGCCCTTGTCCTTTCTGTCGCCTGAGGATCTGGCCAAAGCGGGCTTCTATTACATCGGGCCTGGAGACCGGGTGGCCTGCTTCGCCTGTGGTGTCAAACTGAGCAATTGGGAACCCAAGGATGACGCCATGTCAGAGCACCTGAGGCACTTCCCCAACTGCCCGTTTCTAAAAAAGCAGCTTCACGCCGCGGCACCCTATACAGTTTCCAACCTGAGCCTGCAAACCCATGCAGCCCGCCTCCGGACCTTCTGCCACTGGCCAGCCAGCATCCCTGTCTGTCCCGAGCAGCTCGCCAGCGCAGGTTTTTATTACGTGGGTAAGAAACATGATCCTGGGGCTGGAGTGATAGCACAGCGGGTAGGGCGTTTGCCTTGCACGCGGCCGACCGGGGTTCAATTCCCAGCATCCCATACAATTCCCAAGCGCGGCCAGGAGTAATTCCTGAGTGCATGAACCAGGAGTAACCCCTATGCATCGCTGGGTGTGACCCAAAAAAGAAAAAAAAAAAGAAACATGATTCGAGAAAATAGAAGGAAATGATCAGTGTGGTTCTATCATTATATCGGGCAAGTTCGATGTATTCTAAGTTCTGGTCCCCCATGAATTGTAGGTCGCAGTGATGATGTCAAATGCTTTTGCTGTGACGGTGGGCTGAGGTGCTGGGAGTCTGGAGATGACCCCTGGGTGGAACATGCCAAGTGGTTTCCCAGGTAATCGCTTTGAAATTCTCTTTGCAAATATCCATGGTGGCCCGCACCTGGGTTACGCTGACATTCCCCCCCCCCCCCCCCCGCCTAGACCCACAGGGGACCCTGAGAGCCCAGAGCACCATCTGAAGCCCCCGCTGTGTGTTTTTCTTATATCTAAGCACCTGTAACCAAGTGGTGGCCAAAGATTAGTGACAGGAACCTGGAATGAAGCAGAGCAGTTTTGACGATGGCAATCCGTCACCGCCCCTCGTGAGGGCAGGGCACTGGAGACACAGCATGTGAGGAAACTGCTCTCTGGGGTCTGTCTGCTGACCCTGAGCACTTCCTATATTCTTTGTTGCAAATCCACATTTTTGGGGTGGTCTATAATTAAAAAGCCCATTTGGTGTTTAGTACCACCCCCTCGGCTGGTGTCCATTTCCCTTCACTGCATCTCTGGACTCCAGCCCAGCCACCCCCCACCCCACTGCCCTTCATAAGTTTATTTCTGGAAACCAAGTTCTCAGGTTCTCTTTGATCATATGAATGCCTATTATTCAATAATAATAATTGGGGTTGGAGAGCTAGTTAAAGTGCTTGCCTTGCATGTGGCAGACCCCAGCTCAATCCCTGGCACCACATAGGCTCCCCCAAATGCCACCAGGAGTGACCCTGAGTGCAGAGCCAAAAGTGAGCCCCAAGCACCGATGGATATGACCCCCAAACAAAAATATATGCTCAGATATTGTTATAGTAAAAAAAATTGAGGAAAAATGTAAATAGAAATCTCACCACATAAATTAGATAAGCACAGTTAATAGATTACTGAATATAATGTACATTCATAGATCAACATACAGCTTTACATGCATTACATCATATTTGTACCATCCTGGGACTTTTTTAGTCACCATTATGTTTTGGACATATTTCTCTTTAATCAGTACTTAATATTAATTGGTCTCCCTTCCCCAGGTGCTCGTGCTTAAAATAGTAAATGAAACCAAGATCCAGAGAGTTACTGGATTACAGCAGGAGGCGGCGTATCATGAATGAGTCATAAATACGTAGCTGGGAAGTGCTAGCAGGGGTGTAATTGCCATACATGCATGTGAGGCCAGAGCCTTCCTCCACTGCTGCCTTTCCGGCCCTAACAAAGCATTTTCTAGGGGTGTCATTTTGTGACCACATACAGAGTGGTAAATTGGCTTTGGTGTCTTCATTCTATACTTGTGTGGCCATCAGTCTATCATCTAGGAGTTTCTAAGTAATGAATATTGGCTTGTTAATTCTTATTCCTCTTTATGTATTTTTGGCTTTATATGTACAAAGGTTCCCAGAGAGAGAGAGGGAGGGAGAGAGTAGAAGCTGGTTATCTTGCATGTGACCATGTGAGTTTGATTCCTAGTGCCCAATATGGTCCCCCATATGGGGATCTCAGAATAGTTGAGGGGAGCAGCCCAGAGCTGTGCTGGAGACCCTCTCTGCTCCCTGCTCACTCTGCACACCCAGTGCAGCCCTCCTCTGAGGTCCTCATCTCTGCTCGGCAGGGCTTCTCCCCATACCCCACACGCTCAAGCGTCAGGTGGCACACTCACTGGTGGTGTCTACGGTCCTCACCGGGCACCTAAGTGGTCCCCCCAAGTCCGACTGTGTTTGCACTCCAGGTGTGAGTACTTGGTACGGATTAAAGGACAAGAGTTCATCGGCCGGGTCCAAGCCAATTACCCTCACCTGCTTGAACAGGTAGGCCTGGTTCTTTGGTTGATTCAAATCAATCGTTAACACTAGAATTATTTTTTATAATCATGGAGAATAAATGTTTTGAGAAGTTGCTTTAAGAGTTTTTTATTTTTATTATGAGTGGCTTTAAAATTTTTTTTAATCTAACAATTTAGAAAGTTGTATTGGTTTGTCTTTTGTTTTGTGGGCTTACTCCTGGCTTTGCACTTGGGTCTTGCTCCTGGCAGGCTACAGTGCATCATTAGGGGTGCCAGGGGCTGAACCCGGGCTGACCGCATGCAAGGCAAGTACCCTATCCGCTGTTCTATTGCCCTGGCCCAGGAGTAGTGTTATTTGGATAACATAGACTGCGAGGCTGGGGAGTTGGTTCCGCAGACTGGAGCATGGGCTTTGCCCAAGGAGACCTGGGTTTGGTCCCTGGCACTGCAGGGTGCTCCCGAGCACCAAGCCAGGAGCAGCCCTAGCACCTGTCAGTGTGGTTCAGAGTCACAGATGTCTTGAATAAGATTTAAAATAGATTTTAAATTTTACTCAACAGAAAAAAATTTGAGCAGGGTAGTAATATAATAGTTTGATGGGTTTTATTTTCTTCTGGGGGGATTGTAGAAATTTATTCTAGAACTCTGGAATGTGTGCATATGTGCATAGTGAGTAAGTGCCTGCTGCTGAGAATATCACTGATCTCAAGTATAAATTTTTCTTCAAAAGTTTTGGGAAGGATGGTGGAGAGGTGCAGGGGTCAGGGATCGTGCCTGGGAAGAGGGAGCCCAGGGGCCAGTGCAGGGATCAGGAGGCATGCCTAAGGAGAGGGGGCAGGGGTCAATGCAGGGGTCATTACAAGGGTGAGGGGCTGTGCTCAGCAAAGGTCCAGCCTGAATTCTAGTCCCTGATGTGGCTGATTCAGGCCTGGAGATCCCTGAATATCTGGGTGTCCCTCAGGTCCCAGCACCCTTGGGTGACTCAGGTAGCCCTGACTCTGCAGAGCTGGGACATCCCTATGCCCTCAGACCCTCACATTGGCCACTTTCCTGATTGACCAAGAACCGCCAGCGAGCCTATGCACCCCACTTTGGCCCCAGCCTTCTGAGCTCTGTGTGGGAGGCTCCCGCCCCCCCACAACCCTCAGTATTTGAGAAATGGAATTTTATTGCTTGTCCTTATCTTCCCAGAAAAGCAACTAAGAATTTAGACAATAATTTGAGAGTTGTCACTTCTTAGTCATAGTTAATGGGCCCACCTGATTCCAGAGGGTGACTTGGGAAGTGGTGGGGAAGGAAGGAAAAAGAAAAAACTCAAAATCAAGATAAGGTTAGGTAAGACTTTGGGGAAGATGTCCCTGCCTTATGCGAGAGGATACACATGCTGTATGTTAGCAGATACATTTGGTACCAAATGTGTGAGCGTGTGGGCACTCTCCCAGTGGCCCTGAGTATTGCTGTTAAATGGCAGCAAAACATCCATGTGACTCTGACCTCTTGATACCAGCTGGTGCCTCCTAGCTGAGGCTAGTTCACACGAATTACATCGTGGGCTCCATGTGTTAAAACAGTTTGCTAGTGAGAAAGTCAGTTTTCAATACATTTAATAAATTGGGTGTCGACTATTTATTGCACCAGACAGGGTTAAAATTATATTGTAATCTATACACCTTTTTATTCTGTAGCTGTTATCTACTTCAGAAAATCCAGAAGATGAAATTGCAGAGTCTCCAAGTATGTATGATGATAATAACTCCTGCATTTAATTGGGACCATTTGATACTGTTAATGTTGAATGTTGATAATAATAATAATGTATACTTGTATTTTAAGTTATGACTTTTAGTGCATTTTCAAATACAATGAGTTGCATTTCTCAAACATCAGTGCACATTGTAATTGCCTGTGGAACTTTTAAAAACATTCTAGGGATTTCTATTTTGGGGCAGGAGGCCAGAAGGGTTTGGACCACATCTGACTGTGCTCAGGGCTTATTATTCCTGGCTCTGCGCTCAGGGATCACTCCTGGAGGTACTCAGGGGAGCTTATAGGGTACCGGGGATCAAACCCAGGCTGGCAGTGTGTAGGGTGAGTAAGTGCCCTACTTATTGTAAAAACAGTCCTTTGGGTTTTGAGTCTGCCAGTGAGCACGTAAAAGCAGGGTGTGAGTGTGACAGGTGAGCCAAAGTGAGTTGAGTGAGTTCCTGTGTACTGATACGATGCTGTGTTCTTATCTGAGAGCTGTGGAGTTATTGGGGGGATAAAGGGGAGTCTGACAGAGTTTATAAAAGTTGTCTAGAATGAACATCACAAAACTGACATAGTGTAGGGATAGAGGTGAGTGGTGGCAGGGGCCTCTCACACTATATGACAGACACGCTTGCTTCAGAAAGCTCATTTGTTCAGTCATCATGAGCAAAGCGTGTCTCCGTCTGGCAGCACATCCCTGTGGTCCTGTTTCCCTCTCTGGCTCCCAACCAAGCCAGATCATGCAGCCTTTGTGTTGAAATTCAGTAGTCTGTATTCTCAGTACCTGCATAAACATGATTTTTTTCTTTTTGGGTCACATCCGGCAATGCTCAAGGGTTACTCCTGACTTTGCACTCACGAATTACTCCTGGCAGTGCTTGAGAGACCATATGGGATGCTGGGAATTGAACCCAGGTTAACCATGTGCAAGGCAGACACACTACCTGCTGTACTATTGTCCAAGTCCTGCATAAGCATAATTTTAAGTGTGCTGAACATGTGTATCATTATTTTTTAAAACTTAGTAAATAGCTGTGCCCCTTGTTTTGGGGTATGTTATATCTTTGATTCCACGATGACTTCCAGTTTATAAAAACATACTGTCTGCTGTAATGTGTGTGTTGTATGGTTTCTTCCATATAGTCCTTCACTTTGGACCTGGAGATACGCCGTCGGAAGATGCAGTCATGATGAACACTCCTGTGGTCAAGGCGGCCTTAGAAATGGGCTTCAGTAGGAGGCTGGTCAGACAGACAGTGCAGAGTCAGATCCTCACATCTGGAGAGAACTATAAGACAGTTAGTGATCTCGTGGTAGATTTACTTAATGCACAAGATGAAATAAGGGAAGAGGAGAAAGAAAGAGCAACTGAAGAAAAAGAATCAGGTGCATCTATTTATTACTGTAATAACTATTTCTGCACAGACTTGGCATTCATGTATGCCAGCTCCTGAAAATATAGTCAGTTCAATCAGAACGCTTTTGGGGGTGGGGACTGGGGGCACACCAGTGATGCTCAGGGGTTACTCCTGACTCTGCACTCAGGAATCACTCCTGATGGTGTTCAGGAAACCATATGGGATGCCAGGGATCAAACTTAGGTCGGGTGTGTTCAAGGCAAATGCCCTTCCCATTGTAATAACACTTCAGCACCCCCAACCGCAAAGCTCTTTATGTTAAACATTCTAAATTAGAATCCTGAAAACTTTCTCATTTTGGTGAAGGTGTAAAAAGGAAGTTATGGGCAGCATTTTTTTCTTTTTGGGTCACACCTGGCGATGCACAGGGGTTACTCCTGGTTCTGCACTCAGGAATCACCCCTGGCGGTGCTCAGGGGATCATATGGGATGCTGGGAATCGAACCCGGGTCGACTGCGTGCAAGGCAAATGCCCTACCTGCTGTGCTATCACTCCAGTCCCGGGCAGCATTTTTTAAAATTATTTCTTTGTTTTCTTTTTATTAAAGATGATCTTTTATTAATCCGGAAGAATAGAATGGCACTTTTTCAGCATCTGACTTGCGTACTTCCGATCCTGGACAGTCTGCTGACTGCTAGAGCAATTACTGAACAAGAGCGTGATGTTATTAAGCAGAAAACACAGACCTCTTTACAGGCCAGAGAGCTGATTGACACTATTTTAGTGAAAGGAAATTCTGCAGCTGCTGTATTCAAAAGCGCGCTACAAGAAACGGACCTCACCTTATACAGGCATTTATTTGGTGAGTGCTGAATATTTTTTTTCTTTTTGGGTCACACCCGGTGATGCTCAGGGGTTACTCCTGGCTCTGCACTCAGGAATTACTCCTGGCGGTGTTCAGGGGACCATATGGGATGCTGGGAATCAAACCTGGGTCGGCCGTGTGCAAGGCAAACACCCTACCCACTGTGCTATTGCTCCAGCCCCAGTGCTGAATATTTTTTGAGGGGAACTTTTTAGGTCAGTTAGAAATAAGTTATTAATAGTTTGTGGTCACAGCTCAGAGAACAGCTTCTGGCGTCACATGTGAGACTCTGGGTTGAGCCCCTGGTACACAAAAATGCTGTCATAACTGACCATAATCCAGCCTCATTTATGCTATTGACTACATAAAGAAGATGAAAGACTTCTGTTATTTAGATGTCTGTCATAGTAGTTGTTTAGAGTATCTGGCCAGAGGATAAATTGTTAGACTAAAAGCATGTATTCTGAAAGGAAACTAATTTGTTACTGTAATGCCTTTCTCCCTAGTTCAACGGGACATGAAGTATATTCCCACAGAAGGTGTTTCAGGTAAAATTGTATTAATAATTTAAACCAGTGGATAACACTATTATTATTTTCTTGACTTTTGCTGAAGAAGCAACATATCGCATTCTTTATTAATGGGTTCCTTTTTTATTTACTTTTTTGGTTAGTGGGGTCATTTGACACACACCTGATAGTGCTTGCGGGCTGCCCCCAGCTCTGTGCTCATTTTGGTTTGCTTCTTGGAGGGCCTTATGGTGCCAGTTATAGAACCAGGGTCAGCCCTGAGTGACAGGCTCCTTAATCCCTGTGCCCTCTCTGGCCCAGCACATTGCCTTTAAAGAAAGAAAAAAGAACTTTTATTTATTTTTTTTAGATCTGCCAATGGAAGAACAACTGAGGCGACTTCAGGAGGAGCGCACATGCAAAGTGTGTATGGACAAAGAGGTGTCCATAGTGTTCATCCCCTGTGGCCACCTCGTCGTCTGTAAGGACTGTGCCCCTGCCCTAAGAAAGTGTCCTATTTGTAGAGGAATCATCAAAGGGACAGTTCGTACATTTCTTTCGTGAAGTTTTGCCCAAAACAAAAAATGAATGGATTAAATGTGCCATGATTTTAAGTTTCATGCCGATGTTTTCAGATTTTTCCATTCATTTACAATTTAGAAAACTTTATGTAACTCTGTACTGAAAAAATATGAACACATCTATTTTTGGTACTAAGAGGATAATAGACTTCTGTTTTTATCAACAGGAAGTAGGGATAGCGCTATGAGCCCTCTTTAAAGCCCTGAGCGCTATGACACTGTAAGTGAAGAGCCAAGGGTTCTGGGTGGATCTCTAAGAATGTTAATGTTTTGGAGTTGTTTTAACAGTCAGCCATTCAATGAAGTCTATGCTTTCACTGTATTTAGTGTGGACCAAGCTATTTTTTGAGCTACATTTTAGGGACATGGTGAGGGTAAAGAGTTCTCTGAGGATGGTTTGGCCCCTGAGCACTGCTTGGTGTAAATCTGGTGACCTCCAAATTCCCTGATAACTGCTTGGAGGCCTCAGTACTCTTCCCTCATAAAACTTCTGTGAGAATCATTTTGGTTTTTTGGAGGGGGGCATTGAGCCACTGCTTGGCTCTGTGCTCAGAGGTCACTCCTGGCCCTATGCTCAGGGGTCACTCTTGGTCATGCTCAGGGACATGTGGTGCTGTGGATTGAAATGGGGTTGACCACTTAGAAGGTAACTGCCTTATACACTGTACTCTCTGCCAGGCCCTGAGGACCATGCCAATAAAGCAATCCAAATACACTGTTGCTCTTAACCTTCACTGCTGTGATATTGGGTATTTTGACCACTATCACTTGGGCTCTTGGATTTAATAAAGTGCAGGGCAGACTCCTTCCCGGACGAACTTCTTCCTGCTTCTGTGAGCACAGGGCACACCATGCCTGTCTTGGCTCTGGAGGATTTGAGGAGCTATCTGAAAGGAAGTCAAGAATCCTCTCAGTCAGCGTTTGCATTCCTGTGTCTATTGACTCACTCAGCAGGTCTCAGGCCAGTTCTTGACTCTGGGAAAGGCCCCAGCTTGAGTTTCACCACTTTGGTATTATTTCTGGGACGGAGCAACCCTGCAATCACCAGCTTATTCTGGTAAATCCATCTCTTCTGTTCTGTCCTGCGAATGAGGCAAACTCTCTGCATTATTTCTGGGTACACAACATGCTCAACTCACACTTCTCTTAGTTTCCTTTATAGATATTAGAGTTTCACAGCCAGAAATCCAGCTTTCAGGGATAGTAATATGGGGAAAAGCAAAGACCGATGATCTAAACCAGTTCTGTCTGTATCGTGCCAATGAGAAAGATTTGGCAGAAGCCAGGGAAAAGAGCATCTGTCTCTTTATTCCGTTGTTAGAAGACTATTTGTTTGGGATGTAACCAGTCTTACTTTGTTAAATGGTTCTGCTGACTATCCATAGTGTAAGCTGAGATTCTAAGCTGAAATAATTATAATATTGCTTAGATGACATAACTATAGAAGAAATAGTTGTAAGTACCCTTATTGTAGCATCTATTTTTCATCTGGTTCTAATGGTTCTACATATAGTACTTGGTCATCTCCATTGTAAAAACTTTTTTCAGGGAGGGCACCAGGTAATGCTTAGGGGTTACTTCTGGCACAGTACTCAGGAATTACTCCTGATGGCACTCAGAGCATCATGTGAGTGCTGAGGATTCAACCCCCAGGTTGGCTTTGAGCAAGACAAGTGCCCCTCCCACTGTCTTATCACCCGGCTCCATCCATTGTGAAAATCTTGCTCATTTTTCATTCTAGTAATAATAGTTGACAACCAAAAATTTATTCAAATATCTGTTCTTTTCCTAAGGACTACATTAAAATTTTTGTTTTGGAAAAATTAAGTCACTACAGATAACAATGGCAGCACTACCTGTTTGACCATACATTGGCTGCTTTACAGGCATTCATTTATTCTCTCCATTCTCACCCCTCTCCAGTCTGTTCTTCATTCATTTCCCAGAGTTGGTTCCATCACATAAACCTCAATATTTAGGAGTTACAGGAAAAGTATAGTGGGTAAAGGTGCTTGCCTTGCTTGTAGCTTGATTCTTGGTGTTGCATATGGTCCCCTGAGCCCCACCAAGAGTGAATCCTGAGCACCTTCCGGTGTGGCCCTCAAACTGAAAAATCAGCCCTCAAAATATAACATTACATATAATTTTTACAGTGGCCTTAATTTCCACACTTAAACCCTGTGAAAGTTCATCCACTCTTATCTCCTTAGATTATCATTAACCATGAACTTTCTTCTGGTCACACAATGTGATTCAGCCATCTTCACCTCCTCGTGATGTCTGACACATCCCAGGGGACTGTGAAGATGATCACTCTGTCTACTAGTATCAGCGGATCAGTCTGACTGGCTGTTTCCGAGAAGAGGCCCTACTCCCTCCACTCTGGTTTTGAAGAGTTAATTATGGGAGGTCTGGTTTCCAGAGTGTAGACTGTGCAAATAATTGGTTCCTATTGTTGTTAACAATTGTATTAACAACAATTGTGCCTGCCCCTCATTTGATTTGGAGGAGTAGTACAATTTTAATTCTCGTTTTCTTCCCCTTTGCCAGCTACTGTGGCTGGCTTCAGCTTCTAAATATTTCAAACTCTTTCCCCTCATGGTTTTTGACTTGAATATCTCTTCATTCACCCTTGTCAAATTACTACTGTTCTTTAGGACTTAGAAGTCTCCCTTAGTCTTCCTAAGGGAGACTTCCTCTGACTGCTTCTTTTAAATGATACCTCTTAGAACTTCTATGAGATTTCCCTGACCTTTATAATACTGCCCACAAGTTCTCTTATACAGTTCCTTAGTGTCCCATCCTATTGTAAAACTTCCCCTGAGAATAAAAACCATGTATTCTGTTCAGTAGAATGTTTAGTATGTACCACAGAGCCTGGCTTGAGCATGTCCTTATTGGATAAATGAATGAATTTCTGTGAGGGGGTTGGGATATGAGAAGTATTTCTTTCCCCTTAGTTATCACTATTGATAAAGCACTAAGGCAAGATCATTGACACAGAATCATAGCTAGATTTTGGACTCTTTTAGATGACAAAAGGAATTTCTGTAAAGATCAACCTAGTTAGTGGTCAGGGATCACACCTGGTGGAGCTCAGGAGCCCGTAGGGGATGACAGGGGTTGAAACCAGGTTGGCCTCATGCAAGGCAAGCACACTACCTGCTATACTATTGCTTCAGCCAAGAGCAACCCAGTTAAAAGAAGGCTTAAGTAGATGTTTGGACTTGATGCAAACATTTCACTTTACTAAAGCGATTTAAAAATGATATGGGTATAGGGATGGGGTGTGGTGGTAGGTCACGTGCTTTGCAAACCTGAGGCCCTGGGCTTGGCCTCTAGTATGGGTGTACTCCTCTTCACCCCGCTATCCCCCCCCACACACACAAACTAGGCAATAGAATGTTACGACACACACACACACATACACACACAAACTGGGTAATATAATGTTACTAAGAGTGATAATAGACTGGCATTAATAGAACTGGCATGTACTAGTTGCACACATGACCTTATCTGAGAATTGCTGGAGTTTAAGAAAGGCAGCAGAGTACAGAGATTAAAAGTGCAGGCTTTGGAACCTGGGCCACACAGGCTGGGCTCCCTGCCATGGTCCTCTGAGCATTGTGCCGGGAGTATCCTCTGAACAATTTCCCCCAAGCAAAACCTCACAAAAAATGATGACTTCTGCTCAAATCCCATAGGAGTAACCTTAGGGAAGTGATTTAGCATCTCTGTGCCTGTGTGTATCTGCGTGTGGTCTGGGGACTAGGGGCATATCATAGAACTGTTGTTTTTGCTGCTCTTAGAGTAATGGTGGTGGGATTCAGCTGATACCAGTGAGCCCTGTATCTAGTCAGGTCAAAGTACAATCCACAGTCGACTAAGCACAATGCTGCCATACTGTGTCACAGGACCATATCCTATTGGGCATAATTAACTTTTGTGTGTTATCTGGCACTGTAGACCATCAAACCTGTGGCCCACAAATGCAAGACACCAAGCCACTTCCCCAGACCATAGTTAACTATTTTACAAGTGAAAAAAAGAATCATAACAATATTTTAATGATCAAAACAGGGCAGGGAGGGAGAATAAGGATTTTTCAGTCTAAAAGGAGTTATAGATGTGTTTATATGTTATATATATGATATAACATTTATATTTTATATATATGATATGTTATATATAGATATAATATATATAGATATGTTATACCACACGCAGATACACACACAGAGATGCTAAATCATTTCCCTAAGGTTACTCATATGGGATTTGAGCAGAAGTTGTCATTTTTTGTGAGATTTTGCTTGGGGGACATTGTTCAGGGGATACCCCCGGCACAGTGCTCAACATTCAATGAGGTTAAATAAAATTTTGAATTCCTGGATTTGTGCTTGAAGGACTCATGATTCATTTTATGAAAGAAATGACACAATATTAGTGGTCTCTGTCCATGGTTAGATGAACAATACAGTTCAATGGCAGCACCACTAACATTCAGATTATGATTTTTAAATACTCTCATCTGGGGCCTGAGAGAAAGTACAGGCAGTTACTTTCCCCTTAACCCCAGTTCAAGCACTGTTTACTCCTGAACACAGAGCCAGAAATAGTCCCTGAGCACTGGTGTGGCCCCAACAATAACTGAAAAATACGGTCTCCCATACACTTCGAAAAAAATGGCTCATCATGGGTAATGGTGTGAGAAATGTATGAAATCAATAAAAAACTTAGACATGTCAAAAGCACCCTGGAACCACTGTAATTTCCTTTTATCCTAAAATGATTTGAACACCCATAACTACTGTAGCACTGTCCTCCTGTTTTTTATCGATTTGCTGGAGCGGGCCCAGTAACGTCTCCATTGTGACACTTGTTGCTGTGTTTGGCAGATCGAATACATCACGGGGAGCTTGCCAGGCTTTGCTGTGTGGGCGAGGTACTTTCAGTAGCTCGCCGGCTCTCTGAGAGGGGCGTAGGAATCAAACCCGGGTCGGACAGGCCGACTGCGTGCAAGGCAAATACCCTAGCGTTGTGCTATTGCTCCAGCGCACCCATAACTACAATAATTGCAATGTGTCACAGCCTAAAATATGTCTAAATTCCTAGGCTCATGACAGCTATCAGCATGATAGTACATTTTTAGGGTTTGCAGGGGAGCAGTTAGGGCCATACCCAGTGGTGTTCAGGGATCACTCCTGGAGATACTGGGGGCCATATGCAGTGAGAGGAATTGAACTGGGGTCAGCTGCATGCAAAACCAAATACATTAACCCCCAGAGTTACCTGGTCGACAATGCTTTCAACTTACTTTTCCCCTCAAAATTGTTCTGGGTTCTATAAAAGAATCACTAGCAGAAATCTTCCCTGGAAATATGAGATATGAAATGAATGGGTAGCTAAATAATTCAAACACTAAACTGCAAAGTTGCAGAAGAGTAAAAGTTATTAAGTAGTATTTATTATACCTGGATGCTGTCTTATACCTCTTTTAAAAAAATACTTAAGGGGAGCCAGTGATAGCACAGCAGGTCAGGCGTTTGCCTTGCATGCTGCCCTTCTGGTGGATCTCCAGCACCCCATTTGATCCCCTAAGCACCGCCAGAAGTGATCCCAGAGCATAGAGTCAGGAGTAAACCCTGAGCACTGCCTGATGTGGCCCAAAATTAAAACAGAATGTGGGTTTAATTAAAAATTACTTAAGGTTTTGAGTTTTTGACACTTTTTTAAATTGTTCTAGTCCCTATTTTTATTTTTAAGCAATTTTTATTGCTCTATTTTATTAATTTTTTAGTTACAAAGCTTTCACATTTGATATTCAGCCATACAATGATCCATCACCCATTCCCTCCACCTTTTTGACACTTGAGTTTTTGACACTTGAATTTTCCCCTAAACTGAAGTGAATTCACTATCTTTTTGAAAGCAAGAAAAAGAAAGAGGAATAATCTTGACTTAAGAATGAACAATTACTTGCTATATATACTTTCGCATATATAAGAAGGAGTCTGTAACTTTCCGAGAAGTAGTGACTTGAACTAAACACTAGTAACCCAAATCGCACGTCCTTATTTGGAAGTGCTTAGTCATAGGGAGCCCTGACATTTCTTTTCTCTGCATCACGAGCGATTACAAATTCTTTCGTTTTGCGGATGAACTCGGGGCAGAAGCCCTCGGATGAAGGACTGCGGGTAGAAGTGATGGTGACGGGAAGTGGGAACCGGTTCAAGGCCTTGGAATTCCCCTGGCTGCCTCAAAGAGGCGGCTGGTTATCTGGAAGCTTTTGCAATGCTTGGCCCCTGGAGTTCCCCCGGTCAGAATCAAGGATCCGATTGCGTTCGCAGTCGGTGCCCGCTGCAGGCTGCAGCCGGCACCCCGGGCTTTGGTTCTTTTCCTGACCCCAGGGTGAAGAGGCCGGGGGTGGTGAAAAAAAACTCGGTGCGTGTGTGTGTGTGTGTGTGTGTGTGTGTGCGTGTGTGTGTGTGTGTGCAGACTGGTGTGTGTATAGACTGGTGTGTGTGGGGTGTGTGTGTGCGTAGACTGGTGTGTGTGTAGACTGGTATGTGTTTGTACAGATTGGTGTGTGTGGGCGTGTGTGTGTAAGCTAGTGAGTGTAGACTGGTGTGTGCGCGTGTGTGGCTCGTAGTTTCCCCGGCTTCCGCGAGGGGGCGCCCGCGGACAGCAGCCGACCCCGCCTCGGCCCCCACCTCCCCGTGACGTGCGGGCGCGCTGACGTCATCGCGCTGTGGGCGGGGCCGGGGCGCGTCGGGTTGTTGCTCGGGCGGCGTCGCGGCTGCTCCCGGGAGCCTGAGGAGGCGTCGGCTCCGCGGCTCCCGCGTCGGCCGTGAGGTGAGCGAGCGGAGCGGCGTCGGCGCGGGACGGGGCCGGCCTCGAGCAGCGTCTGCGGGGCGGGGCCGGCTCGGGCGCCGCCGTCGCCGGGTGCGTGCTCGCTGCGTGCGACGGCGTCGCTGCCCCGGCGGCCCCTGACGCCGCCTTCCTCTCTGACGCGTCTCCGCCCTTCCGGGCCTGCGGGGTCGCCTCAGCTGAGGGGGCGCGGCGGGCGCGGGGCTCCTCGGCTGAGGGGCGCCGAGAGGCCAAGCTGAGTGACCGCTCCCGCGTCCCCCTCGGAGCCCCGCGAGGCCGGCGGGGGGCGTGGGCGGGTTCCGCTGCCCGGCCGAGGGGGGCGGAGACAGTTGGGAGCTGAGGGCCGAGCGGGCGCTCCGGAGGCGGTGTGAAGACCTGAGGCGGTTGAGGAACTCCTGGCTGAGGCGTGCTCGCCATCTCCCCTGCCCCTGGAGGAGCAGGTCCCAGTGGGCGCCGTCCCCAGAGGTCTGTAGGCGTCACCCAAGAGCACATCAAAGGCTTGATAGAGGTATTTTGAAGTCGCGAATTTGGGAATCTTACGGACCTTTGACAGAAAAAGAGTCAGAATTAACGTTTTGTGTCAGCTCTTTTTTCAAGCCATTGAGTCTGTTTAATACGGTATTAGAAACTGAAGCAGCCAGTTACATAAGAGCGATGATAGAACCTGAAAGTGTACTTGGTATTTTAGGAGAGAGATTTAGCCCATCCGAGTAAGCTTCCGTACAAATGCAGTGAATTTGACCGAGTAGGAGGAGCCTGCCCCTTTTGTTTGTTTTATTGATACACAGTTTAATGTGGGTGAAAACCCTTCAGATTCATTGCCAAGTACAGCCACTCATGCACAAAACTACCTCCCAAAGACTTGTTCTAGGTCTTTCGTATAAAAAAATTAAGAATAAAATGGAAGATAGCACAATCTTATCAAATTGGACAGATGACAGCAAACAAAAAATGAAATATGACTTTTCCTGTGAGCTCTATCGCATGTCCACGTACTCCACCTTCCCGCCCGGCGTGCCTGTCTCGGAAAGGAGCCTGGCTCGCGCGGGCTTTTATTACACCGGTGTGATTGACAAGGTCAAATGCTTCTGCTGTGGCCTGATGCTGGACAACTGGAAACAAGGAGACAATCCTGTGGAAAAGCATAAGAAGTTGTACCCCAGCTGCAGCTTTATTCAGAATCTGGTTTCTGATGCTAATCTGGAATCCACCTCTAAGAGTGTTCCTTCTCCAGCGAGAAGTGGTTTCACACATTCCTTGTGTCCTGCTTCGGAGCCTGGTGACTCATTGACTGATTCTTTTTCCAACCTTTCATTCAACCCTGTTCATTCAAGAGCAGGTGAGGACTTCTCCCCAACGAGGACTAATCCCTACAGTTTTGCGATGAGTACCGAAGAAGCAAGATTTCTTACTTATCGCTTGTGGCCATTAACTTTTCTATCACCTTCAGAATTGGCAAGAGCTGGATTTTATTATATAGGACCTGGAGATAGAGTTGCCTGCTTTGCCTGTGGTGGAACACTCAGTAACTGGGAGCCGAAGGATGATGCTATGTCAGAGCACCGGAGACATTTTCCAGACTGTCCATTTTTGGAAAATTCTCTAGAAACGCTGAGGTTTAGCATTTCAAATCTGAGCATGCAGACATGTGCAGCTCGGCTGAGGACGTTTATGTGCTGGCCATCGAGTGTTCCCGTTCATCCAGAGCAGCTTGCAAGTGCTGGTTTCTACTGTGTGGGTAAGAGACACCCATGTGTGTGTGGCTGTACATTTTCCAGAGTTCATTTTAACTTACATGTGTGTACTTATTTTCTATCTTGTTTTTTTCTTTCAGGTCGCAATGATGATGTCAAATGCTTTTGTTGTGATGGTGGCTTAAGGTGTTGGGAATCTGGAGATGATCCGTGGGTGGAGCATGCCAAGTGGTTTCCCAGGTAATTATTTTGAAAGCCATTCTGCCTCAGCTCTGCCTGAGAAGTGGTACTGGGCTGGGGGAGTGGCTCTGTGGTAGAGCTCTCTCCTTGCATGTGTGAGTCCCTGGGTTCCATCCCTGGCCCTTCAGCATCAACATCAAAGGGGAAGAAAAGACAATGCTTGCATAACTCAGTTTATATTTTAATATAGCAGTTCCACATTCATACTGTGTTGAGGGGATCAGGTACACTTGGGGCTTCTGAGCTGTCTCCCCGGCCTGCCTTATGCTTCATGACTATATAGTTATTACTGTTTTGTTACCTTTCAATTTTCTTCTCCAGTACTGGGGATTGAACCCAGTTTTCACATGTAAGGCATGTTGCTCTGCCACTGAACCACATCCTTCCATACCCCTTTTTCTTTTTAATAAGACCTAGGGATTACAAAGACATGTGAAATGTAATAGAACAAGAATTAGAGGCAAGAAAGGCAAAGGAAAACAAGGGGAGTGACATAAAATGTATCTAGGAATAAGATAATTATAAAAGTATGTAATAAAATCTGGTAAAAATTAAATTGTTTTACACAAATTTATCTTGTGATATGCCAATTTTAGGCACAAAGTCTCTTAACACACTTTTTTTTTGACTAGTCTGAAACGAATTTAGAGACAGTGTTGTTACTGGGAATAGAATTTTGAATTCTGCCTTTGAGCCTCTTTACTCATAAGTAAAATGAGGGGTTCACTTAATCACGTAAGTGAAGCACTTAATCCCGTTATTCATCGATTTACTCGAGCGGGTGCCAGTAACGTCTCCATTCATCCCGGTTGCGTGCTAGTGTAGCCCAATGGTATCTGTTCATTCTAGGAACATGCAGAGCCTCAAACCGATCATTCAGGGTCTTGACGAAGAAGTCTGACCATCTTGTAGGTGGGCGTCCACGTGATCTTTTGACGTCCCGTGGAATGCAGTCAGTAATGGCTCTAGTCCAGTGGTTGTCTGTAAACCTCATTATGTGTCCAGCCCATCTGATTTTTGATGTCTTGGCAAATGAGACAGCGTCCCTGATTCTTGAGCGTTGATGAAGATCAGAACTCCGGATTCTATCTCTCATTTGAGTGAATCGTGATATTCCAAACATAGCTCTTTCGATTCCTCTTTGAGAGACCCGAATAGCATTCTCATCCTGTTTTCATAGGGCCCAGGTCTCTGAGGCATATGTTAATGCAGGAAGAACAGTGGAATCGAAGAGATGAGGGGTTAGTCTTTGTAATTTATTTGCTAAGTTTTGCATAGGGGTTGGGGCATACCTGGCTGTGCTCAAGGCTTACTCCTGGCTTTTTACTCAGAGATCACTCCTAGAAATGCTCAGGGGACCATATGCGTTGCCTGGGATTGAACCCAGGTCACCCACGTCCAAGGTAGGTGTCTTACTGGCTGTATTTTTTTTTTTTGGCTCCAGACTTTTGTTTACTTAATGTAGGAAAAATGATGGGCCTGAAGCATTGATGACAGGTACTTTGTCTTAACCCTGGCCCCTATTGTTGAAATTTTAAATGACTTAATTATATTTGGCTCTAATTACATGCATATAATTGAAATTTAATATTTTGCTGAAGAGAATAGAAGAATGCCACTTTCCATTTGCAGCCTTTGGGTTGTTAGATTTTGCCCTTTATTAAACAAAGCAAAACATAATCTTGGCTTATTTCAGGTTGTCTTTTGTCTCAGCTAAAGGGAAGAGGCTGGGGACAGCTTTTTGACAATATGCTGAAATAAATTTGAATTTTGTGTAATCAGTATCAGTAAATGAATAAATTATCACTGTGAGCACAGTTAATCTATTTGTTCAACAAATATTAGGTTGCTCACTAGTTTATTTATTTATTTTTGGCTTTATCAGTCACACCCCACGTTGCCTAGGGGTTACGCCTGGCTCATGCACTCAGGAATTACCCCTGGTGGTGCTCAGGGAACCATATGGGATGGCAGGAATCGAACCCGGGTTGCCACATGCAAGGCAAATGCCCTACCCACTGTGCTATCGCTCCAGCCCCATGCTCACTGGATATTTTTATAATAGGCATATACCAGTAGATAAATAAGTCATGAAATCTGTACTCTCCTAGTTTATCGGAGAAGGAGATGATGGGAGGCAAAGTTCATTATACTGTTTGGTTTGTTACCCATTTTTTGTGGTGTGCAGGTGCTCTCGGGTGCTCAGGAGGCCTGGGGCCCCTTTCCGTGATTCTTAGCAAGTGCTGAATATTAGCTACCCCAGCAATGCTCAGGATCTTCCAGGGCTTCATCCTTTAGTGCCCAGAGACCTCAGGGTACACCTGGCAGTGCTGGGGGGGGGGGGACCCCGGGTTGCTGGGAGTTGAGCCAGCAGTTGAATGCATGCATCTTAACCCCTGTGCTGTCTCTCTGTCCTGTACTTTACTTAAATCGTTATGAACATATGTCTCAAGAAAATTAAAGATTAAGAACAATAACTGAGTTGCCTAGATAAGAAATTTGAGTCTTTTACAGTTTATTTTCATTTATCAGTTGAAAGACATTTGGATTGTTTCCAGTATCCTGTATCACTGGTAATTGTATTAATGAAGGTAAATACAAGACATCCAAATGCATCAGTATATAGTTTGTATTGTCTTGTGAGAATTTTGCTTCTGTTAAATATATGTGTTCACTAGGTTGTGGTGTAAAAAATTTATAATGTGGACTACAAAAAGTTTGGAAACCACTTTTCTTTATATTTTATTTTCCTTATTTACTATAAAGCAGATTTCTTTTATGGTTTAGGTGTGAGTTCTTGATACGCATGAAAGGGCAGGAGTTTGTTGATGACGTTCAAGCTAGATATCCTCATCTTCTTGAACAGGTAAATCCATTTTATATTTGGAAATAGTGAATGCTCTGAAGTTACACAGTTTTATTGGAAGTGATCATTGACATCTGCTATGCTTTTTGGCTACATATTAATACAAAGGTTGTTGTAATTTTTATTTTTGTGACTACCTTGGTTAAGGCTTTTTCAACATTTTTGAAACAATTAACTAAACCTGAAGCTGTACTAATGTATGGTGGGGTTAGAGGAGAACCTTTAGGGTCCAGTCCATCTAGCCCATCCATGTTTTCAGAAAAACAGAAAATGTGAACTTGTCAGTAATTTGAAGCCCCTTGGTAGTAATGCAACTCAAGTAACACTTTCTGAATAGAATCAGAAATCATTAATACTGTTTCATACTCTCCTGAAGCTGACACAGTAACTTGAATTCTAATTTGGAAGTACGTGATATTTAGGCACATCTTAATGACTACTACAGCAGAACAAAGTAAAGTAGGTAGCTTCTCTCATTTTGCTAAGTGATTGTGTGTTACGTGAACACATGAACGTTGGTCTGTTGAGGATTTTCGAGGTTTCTGATCTCACACTCCTATTTTGTAGCTGTTGTCCACTTCAGACACTGCTGGAGAGGAAACTGCTGATCCACCAAGTATGTATGAAAACATTTCAAATATGAATGAAATTATTATGAGAATGTAAAGAATGAAAGTAGATAGGTTCTTGAAAGTGTTGATATTCCAACAAGGGAGATAAGAAACTTGCCAGAGAAAATGATAGCAGTTAGCTCAAAGAATACCAAACAAGAAATGCAATTTATGATCCTTCCAAAAAGGAAGGTGTTGATGAAGATGTCCAATCTCACACTTGCTGGTAGAAATGTAAATTGGGCATTTGTCATGGAGAGTTTAAGATTCCTCAAAAAAATGAAAATCAGGGCTGGAGAGACAATACAGAGGAGTGTGTATGTGCATGTGTGCGTGTGCACGTGCACGTGCACACATGTACATGTATGTAAATATGTATATGTACTTCTGTATATTAATTTGGGGGGGGGATGGTTTGGGCCAGCAGTGTGACATTTATAGATGTTTATAGTTATAGTTTATAATTGGGGTGACAGTGTGGATGTTCACAATCAAACCTAGGCACCCACATGCAGAGCATATGCTCCACCCCTTTGAGCTGTCTCCCTCGTACTGGTTTTGCTGTTCTTCACTTGGTTAAGGCTTGCCTTGAGGCCCAACAGTAAGGTCTGTTCTGATGAATTTCACAAAGGCATGTGTTTGACAAAGGCCTGTATCCTATTGCTAGTGAGACTGTTTGTCTGTTTGTATGTCTGTTGGGTTAGTTGGTTGTCTGTAGTAGTATTTAGCAGCTTTGTTTCCTGATATAAAGTCTGGTGATTCATCCAGGGGTATTGAAGGCCCTCTTCTTGTATTGGTCATGACTGCTTCCTTTATTCCTGGTAATAATTGCTTTGCCAGTGTTTGGTGCATATCAATTAATTGATTATCTTAATGAATCCCGTTACCACCAAATATTCACCTTCCTTGTTTCATATGACCTTCTTTGTCTTATATGAAGCTGTTTTATGTGCTCTACATGTAGACATGCCTTGTTAGTCTTGGTTACCATTTGCAATGATTTCCTTGTCCTATTTATTTCATTATCTGTAAAGCTAAAGTGAATCCCATAGTAGCATGTATATATTAAACTCTTCAGTAATTTTGTCTGAAGAATTTTGTCTGTTTACATTAATTGATAGATAAGAACTTTATTGTAATTTTTATTTACTTGGGATGGGGAATCCACTAATACTCAATTCAAAATTAGGGGCTGGTGGGCTGGAGCGATAGCACAGCGGGTAGGGCGTTTGCCTTGCACGCAGCCAACATGGCCGATACAGGTTAGATTCCCAGCATCTCATATGGTCCCCCGAACACCGCCAGGAGTGATTTCTGAGTGCATGAGCCAGGAGTAACCCCTGAGCATTGCTGGGTGTGACCCAAAAAGCAAAAATAAAAAAATAAATAAAAATTTAAAAAATTAGGGGCTGGAGCGATAGCACAGCTGGTAGGGCGTTTGCCTTGCACATGGCCGACTCCGGTTCGATCCCCGGCATCCCATATGGTCCCCCGAGCACTGCCAGGAATAATTCCTGAGTGCAGAGTCAGGAGTAACCCCTGAGCATCACTGGGTATGACCCAAAAAGCAAAAATAAATAAATTAACATGAAATAGATAAATCACACAAGTATACTATATAGTAAGAGTGAGGACAGGAGAATTAAGCAAAATTTAAGGGAAAAACCTGAATTGGCCTGTAAAAGTATAAATGTGTTTAATCATAAAAAGTGAAATTTGGTATATTTATAGTAGAATTGTATTGTTATATATATTCATAGTATATATGTTTATTTTTTATTTTGTTTTATTTTTTTGCTTTTTGGATCACACCCAACAATGCTCAGGGGTTACTCCTGGCTCTGCACTCAGGAATTACTCCTGGCGGTGCTTGGGGGACCATATGGGATGCTGGGAATCGAACCCGGGTCAGATGCGTGCAAGGCAAACGCCTTACCCGCTGTGCTATTGCTCCGGCCCCATAGTATATATGTTTAGAGTAGTATATTTACCATAGGCTTTAGAGTAGAAAAATATTAAAATTGTAATAAAATTTCTTTGCATGTAAAAAATATCACCTGAATAGGCATATTGGACATTCAGTATAACTGAAACATTGATTCATTATTGAAAAGTGAAAAATATTCTTAGCAAGCCAGGAATAAACAGATCTTCCTTAATCTATAGAGGGCTAACATAAGTGCCATGAATTTGTGGAGAAGTTTGTTTGGTCTTTGTTTGTTTTTGTTTTGAGATCACATCAGCAGTGCTCAGGGCTTACTTTTGGCTCTACACTCAGGTATCACTCCTGGCAGTTTTGGGGATCATATGGGGCCCTAGGGATAGAACTTACATTGGCCACAATGGCTGTGAATTCTCTATCTATTGCCTTTCCATGAAGTTCTGTATTGTTCCTTCAGATCTGAATGATGACCTTTCTGGATAGAACATTCTTGGTGGAGTGTTTATTTCAATGAGGTTTTTATTTTACAATGGGAGGACAGTGCAGTGCAGTGCTACTTCGTCCCACCATTCTCTTGTGGCTCATAGAGTCTCATTTGATAGATTTGCTATGAATCTTCTGGGCTTCCCTATGTATTTAAGTTCCTTTTATTATTTTTTTCCCCATACCCCTTCCTCTGAAAGTTCCTGTTTTTGATCTTGCTTTTAGTATTGTCTGTCTTTTGTCATTCTGATTATAATGTGTCTTGATTTATTTTTTCTATATGGGTCTACTTTTGCCATGCCCTTTAGACCTCTTTGAGTCCTGTTGTGTGTGGCGGCAATTGAAGTATGGAGTTGCTACCGGGGCTTTTGTTTGGATGGGTGGTGGGCTCCCTCTCCCCCCTCCAGGATGCCCTGGATATGCCTGGTGTAGGGGTCTGGAGGCCTCTCTCTCTGCCTAAGGGCCTCTTGGATCTCTGTGCCTGCACTCCTCAAATTGGGGAAATTCTTATCTGTGATCTCTTCAACTTCGTCCTCTTCATCAATTACCCTCCGGTTTTACAAAAACTCTGCTGATTATTATATTGTTCCTCTTAAACTTATCCCATGGTGTGTTAAATTTTTTCAGACTTTTTTCCACCTTTTGTTCTTTCCTAGAGGCTTCCTGTATCCCTTGTTGGAGTTCCTCTAGCTTTATTTCACCTGCTGTTACTCTGCCGCTCAGGCCTTCTGTTGAGTTTTTTGGTATCATCTATCATACTCTTCATTTCTGTTGCTTCTGATTGTAGTTTTCTCACATCCACTCTCATGCTTGTATTTTGCTGCCTACCTGTGCCATCATTTCTTCAAACTCATGAAACACCTTCAGTGTGGTATCACTAAAGTTATTCTCTGGGAGTTTACAAAGCTAATCTGTAATGATAGAGCCTTCATATTATTTTTACTCATTGAGCTTGGTAGCTTCTGTGTGTTTTCCTATTGTGTTGCTGTGTTCCTGCTGTGCTGAAGATGAATCTTTGTACTTACCTACCCTGGGGTCTCTGAGCTGTTCTTTCCCTTTACTGCATGGAAAGTTGGAGGAATAAGCAGAGGGTCTGCCATATGGAGGTAGGTGAATGTAGAGATTCATTTGATTCTTAATTGAATTCAGACTTTTTTGGAGCTAGAGTAATCAGGTCACATAGTTTATCTCTCAGCAGAATATACACATCATGAAGGTAAAGATTGTGTCATAGTTGTCATTTTTCCTCATAGTTGCATTTTTATGGAATCTAACATAGGTCTGTGTCTTTTCAATAGTTCTTCACTTTGGACCTGGAGAGACGCCGTCGGAAGATGCTGTCATGATGAACACACCTGTGGTCAAGGCAGCCTTAGAAATGGGCTTCAGTAGGAGGCTGGTCAGACAGACAGTGCAGAGTCAGATCCTCACAGCTGGAGAGAACTACAAGACAGTTAGTGATCTTGTGTCAGCACTTCTTAATGCTGAAGATGAAAACAGAATCGAGGAGAAGGAAAGACAAGCTGAAGAAATGGCTTCAGGTATTTTTGACTTAGTGTGCTAAGTGAACTTGTTAGTGGGCTAAAACATCTCTCAGCTCTCTTCCCTGACAGCTATTGTGTGTTTTCTGTATGTCTGTCATAAGACTCCCTGATGTCTGCTAATAAGAGGATGAAATGTTTCAGTATGAAATTGAATTTTCTTTCTCATACACGGTCACGGTCCTCCCGTTGTTCATCGATTTGCTCGAGTGGGCCCAGTAATGTCTCCATCACGAGACTTGTTGTTGCTGTGTTTGGCATATCAAATACGTCACAGGTAGCTTGCCAGGCTCTGCCGTGCAGGCGAGATACTCTCAGTAGCTTTGCTGGGCTCTCCGAGAGGGGCGGAGGAATCGAAGTCGGGTCGGCCATGTTGGCCGCTTGTAAGGCAAACACCCTACTGCTGTTCTATCGCTCCAGCCCTTCTTTCTCATATGTAATTTAAATTGTTTTGAATAAGCAAAATTGAGGACCAGAGTAATAGTACAGCAAGTAGCATGTTTGCTTTGCATGTGACTGACTTGGGTTTCGTCTCCAGCATCTCCTATAATGCACCGACCACTGCTGGGAGTGATTCCTGTGTGCAGAGCTAGGCATAGAGCACCTCCAGGTGGGCCCAAAAAACAAAAAGCAAAATTGAAAGTTTGAGGGAGATATCTATGTATGCTTTAAAATAAAATTCTCCAGATACTTTATTTTGTTTTTTGGGCCACATGCAGCAGTGCTTAGGGGCTATTACTGATTCTGCTCAGGAGCAACCTTTGGCAGTGCTTAGGATACTATGTGGAGTGGCAGAAATTGAACTGGGATCAGCCAAAGCAGTCACATACCTGGAAAATGCTTGACCTTCTTTACTTTCTCTCCAGTCCAATATTATTCTTAATATGGTGTTTTACATTAATTCTGGCTGAGTGATTACTTATGTAAAAATATAGAACTGATGCTGAAACCCTTGTACTTGATGAGATGCCCTGCCCAGCCCAAGGGTCAAAGGGAACTGAGAGTGTTGTTTGTCCAGACTGCTGTGTCTCAGACTCTCAAAACAAGTCTTTCGTGCCATTACTTCAAGAAATATTGAGCATGAACACCCATGGCTCTTGCTCTCTGGAGGTGCTTATAAACCAGTTTGTAAACCAGTTGTGTTGACACTATTGAGCTGGCGCTGAAGAGCTGGAGAGAGTTGCAGGTGCAGAGTTGACAATGTGGGAATGGGGGCATTTAGACTAGAGGGCACTTTCTTATCTAAGTGTAGAGGAATGGTCTAGGAAATCATTTGTGGCCACATAGCAGCTTGTTTAAAGTCTGACTTCTATACGGAGAAGGATTTTTATTTTAATCCTGCCTTTACAGTTATTTAAACAGAACTCAGGTTTTACCTGAAATGAGGGCATAGTGTGCAAATTACATTAAGTTGCTGTCATAGTTAAATGAGATATTGAAAATGAAAGTTTAGCACAATTCCTGGCACATCAGCATTTTTTTGGTTGAGTAAATTGGTTTGGGAAGTGGAGGTGCTTAGTGAGAGGAAGGGTCTGGGAGAAATGAGAAAGTTCTAAGGATTGTTAGATACAGTGAAATGCAGATGAGATGAAATCATCTCTAAATCCAGTTTGAGAAGTACAAAAATGATCTAGAATTAGGAATTTGAAATTTTATCTGATAAAAGTCAGATGAGAGTGGAAGAGGTTAGGGTACTGGTAACGAAAAAGAGACTGGAAGAAAAAAAAAAAGACTAGAAGGGAATGAGCAGAATTGGGCTGCACTCAGAACTTATTAATGCACCACTGCATGCGGAACTTGGGATATGCTTAGTGGTCAGCACTTGCTCTGAGTGCACACAGCCTTAGTCTAGCTCGAGTGCCAACAGAAAAGAAAAAACTTATATCAGTGAAATAAAATGTATGTGGTGCTGGGGATCGAATTCAGGTCAGCCCCATGCAACACTTTATTTCTGGATCTGAGATGAATTTTGGGGGTTGGGTGCTTCCCCGGTGATGGTGGGGCTCATTGAGGCCACACTCAGTGAGATCGTCTCTCGAGCCCTGTGTGTGGCAGCCTGCGTTGCAGTTCGTTGAGCTTTCCCTGACCCTGGGAATGAGTTACTAGGTTAGAAAGATAAATTGTGGTTAGAGAGAAGAATTGTCATAGTTTTGAAATGAATTGACATTTTTCACTTCTAGAAGTCAGATTTCTCTTTTTGTGACTTAAGTCTTATTAAACTTTTAAATATAGGAATTTTTTTTTGGTTTTGGGCCACACCCAGCAGGTGCTCAGGGCTTATTCCCAGCTGGCTCTGGGGACTGAATGTGTTGCTGGGGATTGAACAGGGCTTGGCCCCTTGCAAGACAAGTGCTCTACTCACTGTATTCTCTCTCCAGCCCTTCATTTTTTATTTTAAAGGCAACTAACTTTAAAGGTTAGAACATCAAAGTAAGGTATGTTTTTTGAAAACCATCTCAAGTATTGATACCCATGTTTTATAAATGTAGGAGGTTTAATTAAGGGTTTTGTGATTAAAAGAGAAAGCAACTGTTTCTAAAGAAGGCAGACTTGATTCAGTTTTCTAAACTGCAACTGAGATATTTAGAAAACAGCCATGGCAGCCACCATTGAGGGGTAGGGTGCTCAGGGTTTCTGAGGGAGCATGACTGTCAGGGCCTAGGCCTCCTGAGGTGTGTGTCTGTCCTGACTTAGGATTCTGGCACTGTTATGCCCATCCGTGGACCCTATGAGGGCACCCCGGTGCTGCTCAGCAGGGCCCTGAATCTGCAGCTTAGGCTTCCTGTAACCTTGAATATGTCATTCATCTTTTTGGTCTTTCACCTGTGGATGAGGAGCTATCAGCCTGCCCTGGTATCAACAGGGTCCTTGTATCTAATGACAGTTTGTGTGAAAGCGCTTAGAATAGTGAAGTGACAGACAGGAGAGAGCTCAAAGGCTGGAGTGGACCCAGTACTCTGAGCTCTGTCCTCGGCGTCTTTGAGCACCACTGGATGTGGCCTGGAGCCATTTATGGCCTTGAGGTCCCCGGGCACCCCTGGGTCCAAGCAGCACTTCATTGTGGGGCCCAGCATTAGATGAGTAGCCCTCTGAGTATCCTGGAAAGGACCCCTTACTCCCTACCCCTGTGTTGCTGGGGAGCCCCCTTCCAACTCCTCAAAAAAAAAGAAGTAAAGTGGTATTATTAGCAAATGATAGTGGTACTCAGGGAAAGTTCAGGGGTGGACAGTGATCACTGACCTCTAAAGTTCTCTGTCTACACTCTGCAGCAGGTAGGGGTTCAAACACTTGTCAATAAAAACTTTAAAAAGTGACCCAAAACTGTGTGTTCTATAATATCTAGAAATGCTCCCAAAAAAAGATGTTAAAGTGCAAATAAGTAATTTTGTTTTCAAATTAAAGTGCAAATAAGTAAATATTCCTGTTTATTTGGTGCTCAAATTGTAGATTGGTACTGACCATTCTGAGTAATGTTGGAGCTGCTTAATGGATAATCTTTCTCTTTCTTGTTTCCTAATGAAGACGATTTATCACTGATTCGGAGGAATAGAATGGCACTCTTTCAGCAGTTGACATGTGTGCTGCCTATCCTGGATAATCTTTTGAAGGCTAATGTCATTAATAAACAGGAACATGATATTATTAAACAAAAAACACAGGTGCCTTTACAAGCAAGAGAACTGATTGATACAGTATTAGTTAAAGGAAATGCTGCAGCCAACATCTTCAAAAACTGCCTGAAAGAAATTGATTCTACTATATATAAGAACTTATTTGGTGAGTTTGATAAAATTATTATAGAAAGTTTTGGGATTTAGTTCCTCATATGTTTGACAAACAAGTGGACTTAACAAACTTTAGTCTGGTTCTGTATTTGGGAGAGTAATGTTTTTGTGTTTTTCTTTCCTCAGTGGAAAAGAATATGAAGTATATTCCAACAGAAGATGTTTCAGGTTAGGCAAAATTGAAAACTAACCGGAACCTTATTTTTTTTTTTTTGTAAGTGGAAGAGAAATGGAATTTCACTAAAGGTTGTTTTTGTTTTTTTCAATACTATTAGGTCTGTCCTTGGAAGAGCAATTAAGGAGGTTGCAAGAAGAAAGAACTTGTAAAGTGTGTATGGACAAAGAGGTTTCTATTGTATTCATTCCTTGTGGTCATCTGGTAGTATGCCAGGAGTGTGCACCTTCTCTACGAAAATGCCCTATTTGCAGGGGCATAATTAAAGGAACTGTTCGTACATTTCTCTCATAAGGGAAAAATGGGCTATGCATTAGTTTATTATAAAGGGTTAAAAAATATTTAACAGACCATCTGAAATATAAAAAGAAATATTGAATCTTTTATTGGTAACATTTGTGTTCCTGATTTGGTATTAGTGATCTTGTTTTTTGTTTTTTTTTTAAAGCACTAATGCCATATTTATTCTTCATCTCTTTCTGTGAAGGGGAAGAGTTAGTTTGTTGAGCTGTATTAGTGTATCTGTTTAAGCTTAGACATTAAAGGGTTGTCACGAATTGGCTCAGGCTGGAGTGTGGGTCTGGCCTGCACGGGTTCCATCCTGGTTCCATCTCTGGCACCACATACTTAAAAACCAAACTAGTAGATGAAAGGCACAGTCCCAGTTCTTCTGTGTCATTTCAAGAGGGAACTAGATGGTGCCAGAGATCAGTCCCAGAACCTCATGATACATGAATGTTCAACCACTGGGCAACATACATCTGTGGCCTGATTTGGTGTTCTTTTGGAGGCTTAGGGTACTGCATTATAGTGAAATTTAAAGGAACAGGAAACCAGTAACTCTGTGGTTTATTAAAGTTATAGTGCCAAGTTGTCTTTGGAATTTTTTAGTTGTGTCATAAAATTAAAATTTTTCTCTTACTAGCAAATAAGATTTCCCCTAATTTGTGAGACATCTTAATAAAGATTTTTGAAAAAGATTACATCATTTAAATTTTTCTTTTAATTTAAAAGTAATTTCGATATGTGTTCATAGACTGGATTGGGCTGGACCAGTATATGTCTTCGATATGTGTTCATATGTGTTCATAGGCTGGACCAGTATAGCAGGAAAGGCACTTGAGGCCCTCTTCGGCCCCCCTTTCCAAATAGGAAGGTTAACTGACATACTTCATATACATCACACATTACATTGTAAGTGCTTAAATGCTGCCTATTAAGAACTTGAATTGATACACCCTGGTTTTTAATAGTAATGCTATTTATGAAAATTCTTTCAGATGACTGTAATTTGTGTATCTTTGATATAAACAGCATGTAAATTTGAATCCTATATAAATTCAAATGCCAACTTTTACACTGTAGGTATATTTATGTACACTATAAATATAAATGTGAATTAAAATCATTAGTCATTTTTAACAAGTGAAATTAGATCAATCTACATTGGGATTTTTAAGAAATGTCTCTGCGGCATGGGTGCTGGTGGGATGAGGAGGTGGGATATACGCCAGTAGTTAGTAGCAGCTTTTCAGGCCCAGTCAGACCTGACTTTTCCAGGTATGTGGGGGAGACTTCTGAAGACAGGTAAGGAAGTCTACTGGTGATTTTTTTTTCTTGTTAAGCTCTAGCTCCTGTGTAAGAACACTGTCCGTGGAGCATATGTGGAAAGTGTGAATTCTCCTGTCTCTTGTCTGCCTTGTTTCTGAGTGTCCCCCAAGGTCAGCTGCAGAGGGAGGTCTCCCAGCCTGGACAAGGGCTGCTGGTACAGAAGAGATACGTGGAAAGTCTCCCTCTGAAGTTCTGGTTTCCCCTTAAAAAGAGCAGCTCCGTTTAAGAGTCAGTCCAGCAGTTAAGGCACTTGTCTTGTACAAGGACAATCCAGGTGTTTATGCACCCCCCGCCCCCCATACACACACACACACACACACACACACACACACACACACACACACACACATCACCTCCAGGATTATTCCTGAGGAGAACCGGGTTTGGCCTCAAAACAAAATATTCTTTTGATTGTTGTATTTTTCTTAAAATTTTAGATTTTTCATTGTCGTCCATCCCCCTTCCCCAGTGCTATTTGCAAGGCTGCGGGAAATCCCATATGTTCTTATTTTCCTAAGTGTTTAAAGGATATTAAATATTGTGAAATAATTTTTTTCATCAGATTACTGCATGTTTCACACCTTTGTTCTTGTAACTTACTATGGCTATTGATTTTGTTACCTTGCATTCTTGAGATAAATCTGGCTCTGGTATGTAATCCTCTTCATATATTATTAGACTCAGTTTGCCAATATCTTGTTGAAGACTTGACTATTTCTCAGGGATATGGTTTATAATACCTTTATGGTGTTTTGGTATCACGTGATGCTAGTGTCAGAATGTTTTCAGTGATTTGATTTACATCCTTGGTTCAAGAGCATTTGAAGTATCCAAAAGTCTACTTTCTAATCTCACAGCAAAAACCTTTTGCCTCATGCCCTACTCTGAAGCAGCAGAAGTGACAGCAGCTCGGCAGGGTTGACATAGAAGAGGGTACCATTTAACTGGTAGGATCTTAGGGTGTTAGTAAGAAAAACAGCAAGGCCAGCAGTGAGAAATGTGCCCACCCGGAAGCAGAGCATTTCTTGTAGAGAGGAAAGGATGAGTGTGTAAGTACGTAACGTGAGATAGGGATGCAGCAGGAATGGGCAGGAGGACTTAACCTCAGATCTCCAACTAATTTTCTTCTTCGTTGTCAGCTATTTATATTGGAGAGGCCTGTCAAATTATATTATTCTCTCCACTACAAACTGATTCTACAGAAAAGTGGACGTCTGTTCTTTATCCAGTGCCCTTTATCTATTTTCATGGCAGTGTGCATTTTTGACAGTATGGAGGTTCCCAGTGTGCAGTGAAAGGCTGTGTGTTGCCCCGGTGTGCAGTAAAAGACTGTGTGTTAACCTTAGACCCCCACAATTTTTTAAAACTCTATGTTTAGGGGATGTGGTTGATTACTGTACAGTCCTGTCCATAGTGGTTGAAAGGATAAAGAAGTCATATTTCTTAAGATGCAGTTTTCAAAGGATTATGGCTTTTTTTTTTGAAAGACAATTTAAAAAAATTTATTTATTTTTGCTTCTTGTGTCATCCGGCAGTGCACAAGGCTTACTCCTGGCTCTGCACTCAGGAATCACTCCTGGCGGTGCTCAGGGGACCATATGGGATGCTGGGAATCGAACCCGGGACAGCCGCATGCAAGGCAAATGTGCTACCTGCTGTGCTATCGCTCCAGCCCAAGACCGTTTTTTAAAAACACGCCTAGGGAACCCTGAAGTGTTGGGGTTTAAATCCAGGCCTTCTGCATGCACTCTTACCTGTTGAGATAGTTGTCTATAGTAACTGCTAAAGACATCGATACTTTATGGGAAAAAACAAGTTGGTTTTTTTAAAAAATAGGTAAGATTTGGGTAGATAGGTACTTCACAAAAGCCTAGCCCAGTAGCAAGCGTTGGTGTGACAGTGACTTGAATTCAAGTTATGCTGGTAGGAAGTGAGCCTGGACAGAACCATTCAGCTTTAGTGCAATAATGCCCGTACACAGAACCTTTCCCTGCTTGGCTGTTTTCATAGGAGATCTGGATTGTTTTTACTGCTTTTGTAAGACTGGAATCTTGATAGAAATTTTACTTGTCTAGATTCCTTTTGGTACTGTTGACATCCTCTTCCACTGCTCGAAATCCTCCTGCTTTTGATTTCTTTCAGTGTGTGATTTTCAGCATAGATATCTTTTACTCTTTGCGAAAACCTTTTCCTGAGTATATTGTTTGGGTACTGCTGGCTTTGCTCTGTAGACAGCTCTACCTGTTGGATTCTGCTGCTGTCCTGGCTCTACAAAGCACAAACCAGTAGAGTGGCCAGAGCTGCTCATAGGACCACTCACCCATTCTTACAGCAGGAAGCTCCTCCCTTGTAGCAATGCACCACAGATTCCCTGGCCATAGGGCAAAGCTGGAAGTCCCACAAAGTACCACCTCAGACTTGGTTGCCTTCGGTCATCCCTTCCCTAAGGACTATGCTGGCCATCTTGGAAATGTGACACTTCAAAAAAAATAAGATTAAGACAAATTTAGAACAGTTTTTTGGCCAGATGATGTTTTAGGCCCATTCCCACAGAATGACAGCAACTAGCAGCAGACACTCATCTCAGGTGGTGGATTTGAGGTGTCTTCCTAAGGTCTACTCCTGCATCCACCCACAGCAGGGCTCACAAATGGGTATTTCTAACGCTTGCAGGGGACACTGCTTGTCCAGGCCTCACACACAAGGGAAGTTGGGCTTTTTCTGTTGAAAGAAAACCATAGAGCAGACTCTTAGCTGGTGAAAAAATTTTATTCTAAAAATAGATCTCAGTAACAATATCAAAAGCTGATCATTATAATGCAAAAAAAAGTAGGAACTTAATTTTATCTGTTTTTGAACTATGGATTATTCAAAGAAATTATCAAGTCATAGATTTTTTTTCCCTATTTCAACATCCATCTGGATTGTTTCTATCCTCAAATAAATTCTCAAGTAACTTAGTAAAACAAGCACATACTTGGAAGACATCTGCCGAAAAGAAATAAAGACTTGTATCTCACTGTTTACCTCAATTTTTGCAAAAAATACAAAAATTGCTGCAATGAATTTGTAGGTAAATACTATAACTAAGATATTTCAAACCCAAAGTATAGTAAGCTTTAAAGGCAAATGTTACTTTGAAAATGGTTTTATGTGTCTTAAAAGTATTCAAGAAAACTTTAGCTTGTCTACTAAGTTCTGAAATACCAGGAATGTAGCAGACAGATTTAAAAGGCCCTTTACTAAAAAAATACATCTTGCAAAGAATTAAAACACTGGCTGAAAGACCAGTTAGGTAAATTGTATATTACTAATGTGGCTCTTTAAGCCCACATCTCTTCCCAAGTAATTCAAATACAGTGCATCTGTGAACTAACTAGACCTAATGCACAGTGAGTGCATTCTATAAATTCTCTATAAATTCTCAATATATGGCATTCTACAAACCAAAAGGCTGGTCACAAAAGTTATGTGTTAAATGTGTTCATTAGGACACCTTTGGTCATTTTGGTGCAGTTTACTTTGACCAAGATAGACATATTTACCTTCAGTACTTGACCCTGAGTTTTGAGTATAAACTAAAAATACTTCAAAATATGTTGGCTTATATGGTGTTCTGCAATACTGTGCTTTCTCTCCACCATACCTGAAAGGGTCTCCTCAGTGGAATAGTCAAGAACACACTGCTGTTTAGTAGAGATGCTGTCTTGGAGTGAAATTACAGTGCACGAAAAATGTAGCCCCATAATCCCTGCCTTGAGACACTGCATTAGACATTTCTAGATAATGAAAGCAGCTCCACATAACAGAAATAATGTACTAAATAACAGCTACATATGAAATAAAGCAATTTCCAGTGGTGACAATATTCTTACAGCAGCATATAATCCAGTTCTTAATCTAGATACTATGTTAAACATTGCAATTTACTGACACTTCAAAAGAAAATACCAACCTCCATTGAAAACTCAAAATTCTTAAGAGTACATTTGTCTAAAGACTTTCTGTCAGGACTAAAATCCAGGCATGATAACAGGTTATATTTAATCGATGTTAGATGCGTACAATTTCTAAACCAAGCACTAAGCCTCATAAACAATATATTGATACTTTTAAGGAAGAATTAAAATTATGTGTACGACCTTGTTTACTCATGAAATTTCTGCTGTGACAAGCTCCTTATTTATGTTTAGCTGGCATTATCTTCCAGTTTCAGATCCAATGCCACAAAGAAATGGGACAGGCCTAATGTTAGTAAAAGTGAATATAACCTTTGAGCTAACCTTTCACAAAAATCCCCAAACCCTTGACCTGTATCAGGAGGACTCCTTACATGTTTATATACTATATCGTACGTTAATCTGCCTGGCTTGTGTGTGTAGTGTGTGTGTGTGTGTGTGTGTGTGTGTGTGTATGGTTTTTTTTAAGAACTGAGCATTACTTTAAACCACATTAATAGATAGGGCTGCATCACTCTTCTTCCCATTGGTCCACATTTATTTAGATGATGGCTTCATGTTCATCGCTGAAACAGAAAAGTCACAATCACCTTAAAAAAAACACCTGTTAGTCAAATGATGGTCTAGGTCATTTCTGGTAGGCAGGTTACTTCTCTGACCAGTTTTCTCTACCCCCCTATGTATGCAGTGGGCTGATTTATAAACAAGCAGTGACAATTGTCTTGAGCACTGTACACTCTGCATCCCTTTTACAGGAGCATGGGCAGCACCGTGAAGAAACAGGAAAAGAATATTTCAAAGTGTGCATTAATTACTTAGTGGAGATTTTACCTCCGAAAGTCTGTAAGAGGTAAACAGCTTTTCACCCTGATGAAATTGGGGGGAATGACAGTATCAGGAAATTTGTCATAGAGAGCAAAGGAGTAGCTGAGTGAGACCAGATAGTTGGGTCAACTGTTTGGGAATATCACAGATCTGAGTTACTCATCCCTGTCCTGGACACTAACTTGGGTCATTACACTGTCCACCCCCCTGTCATGAAGCTTAGATAAGAAACAATGGCCAAACTCACATGGTGCTATAGCGAATGCCTCTTCTTGAATAATACATTTTGCATCCAGCATAAAAGATTGTTAATACTCCCATTGTTAATACAATACCGCCAACAAAACTGCCAATGTCAAACTTGGATCCTTTCTTTTCTTTGGAATTAATAGTTGCTGTGACTGGAAGAAAACAGAGGCTTTCAGTGATTAAAAAAAACAACACTGAATATTAAAGCTTGCTCTCAAAAAAGAAAAAAAAGCCTTGCTCTCATGGCTAATAGCTCTGTCTGGGAAATAAATATATATATTGCATGCACATATATTTGTAAATATGAATCCTTAATACCATACAGGAATGAGCGCTGTAATCTTTGAAGTAGGTCCAGTGTTGTGAGCAAATTTCAGTTTCTAACTGAAACTTCCCTTTTTGAGTAAACTGCTTTGGTTTTGTGTTACATACGCTTTGGCTTATTTTCAGTACATTAAAACACCAAAGGGGCTGGAGGGATAGTACAGTGGGTAAGGTGCTTGCCTTACATATGGCTGACCCAGGTTTGATCCCCAGCACCTCTGGGTATGCCCCTTCTCCACACAAACCCCGAAATCACGAAGCCTATGTTCGAGTAACTGATCACTAGTTTTTAAACAAAACTCCAGCCATGGTTAACTTAGGATCTTTAGCGCCAAGATAATACGATCTGTGATTACTTAATAGATTACTATCTATTACCATTAGTATCTTTTTTTGGGGGGACAGGGAGTGAATCCAGGTCAGCCATGTGCAAGGCAAGCGCCATAACCCCTATACTATCTCTCCAGCCCTCATTAAAAAATATCTTTATGGTACAAATGAATTAAAACCCAGATTTACTATGATAACTGGTTTAGAAATCATGTGGCTGGGAGTCTCCCAATTTCTTTGTACTTCATTCTAGAACATGGATGACAAGTTTTCAGATCATTCAATAAAATCCCATTAGGATAAATTGCTCTCAGTTATTTCACATAACCAATAATAATTGGGGATATTTGTTTGGTTTTTGGGTCATACTCGATTGTGCTCAGGGGATCGAACCCCAGTTGGCTGCATGCAAGGTGAGTACCTTACCAGCTGTGTTAGCCAGTCCCAGGAATGAATTGTTTACCTAGAAACGCACATTTTTTACATGGTCAGATAACTCTTTCTGATCTCTACAACTAAGTTTTCCAATAGGTGATCACTGTCTACATCTCTGTGTTTCTGCAGAATAGGACTATCACCCGGACAAAATAAAAAAAAGGTCACTGTGAATACATACTTGTCACCGATGAAGTGTCTGTGCTGCTGTGAGCTGTGGAAGTTGACATCTGGGATGTGGTCTTCAAACTCATCGTTTGGGGTGTTGACTTTGTGGTCGTTGGTTTAACTGCTGGTACTGTAGACGTTGTTCCAGTTTTCAAGGTGGTGACATTGACAGTCACGGTGCTTGAGACTGGAGGGGCTGTTGGTTTTGTTCTGGGTTTCGAGGTGGTGGTGGTGGTGGTGGTGGTGGTGGTGGTGGTGGTGGTGGTGCTGGAGACTGTGGTTGTTGGCTTGGTAGTGGTGGTAGTCTGTGGAAGATTCACTGCAGGGGTGTTAGGAAACTTCGAAAGTGGAATAACAGATGGTCTCGTACAAGACCAATCGACAGCAGCATGAAAGAAATACGAAGACTTTGCATTTGGACAGTGCAGTGCCTCACTAGTAAAATACTCTAGCAATCGCCAACACTACTTTTATATTGAGTTTCTATTTTCTATTCCTGTTCCAAAGAACAAAATTCTTGTCTAGTCTGCAAAATTTTCAGTGTGAATAGTTGCAAACAAGATTCTCTTGGGGTGGGGGCTGCTCCTGGCTCTGCTTAGATGATCATGAGGTGACAAGGATCAGCCCTGCCACCCAAAGGTGCTCCACCCTTGGAGGTGGAGCCTTTCTGGCCTTTTTGGTTTCGGGTGTTCAGGAGCCGTCTGGTATCAGGTAGCTGCACGTGCGTCACAGTCCTCGGCATATGGGGCTGAGTGTGGCTCTTGTTCTGCCTTCAAGTCCTGCACTTGCCACAGCTCACTGGGTAACACACAGTAGGACCAAACTGAACACTGGCCAAATGAACACAACAAGGCGCTACCAGAGGCACAGAGCAGAGTTATTCCCAACTCCATTGCAGGTCTCAGGAGTGTGGAAGCTCTCAGACTAACTGCTGTCAGGACTCGGACTTCTCACCCTGGCAAAGGGCATCGTTCCAACAGCACATGCACCCACCTCACGGCACTGTCCCAAATGCTTTACATTGGATAATGCACAGAACCCTCGCGTGACCCTAGGAAATAACACCATGGGGAAACAGGCTGAATCTTTAGATCCTAAGTCCTTCCCCTTCTCATATTTTAAGGGGGAAAAGGTTAATGAAAACTGAGATAGGTCAACAGGGGACCTTTCAAAAAGTTAGGATGGCGAAAGGTAATTTTTATTTGGGGGCTACAGGGGATGGAACCTGGAAGACAAGACAAGCCCCCTACCCACTGTACTAATTTCTCCATCCCAGGAAAATTTATTTTTTATCGTGGAGTCCACCCAGGGTGTCTGCACCCCGCCCCTTGGTCCACCCTCAGAGGGAACTTATTGCATTGCAACACTTTCTGTCTGTCTGCTTTAGGGTTGCACTGCTCAGGGCTTTCTCCCGACTGCATTCAGGAATTACTCCTGACCATGGTTGCAACAAACCCTAGTGAGCCATGTGTAAAGCAAGTACCCTACCCACGTGCTATAGCTCTGGTCCCAGTAACACTAAGTTTTCGTAAATGTCCAGAAGCCCCTGTGTGCTGGAACCAGTTTTCTCTTCCATTCCCTGTGCACATTTTCACTCATCTGTATCAGATCCTCTGGTCTCCTGAAACAGTCCTAACTCCAAGGAAGCAGTAAAAGTCAGAACTCCCCCCATCGAAGTTCTGGTTTTCCAGGGTCATTCACTGTGCTCAGGGTTATCGCTGGTTCGGAAAGCATCAGATACTTAAAAATAAGAACTAGCAGGGCTGGTATGAGAGCACAGCGGGTAGGGCGTTTGCCTTGCACTCAGCCAACCTGGGTTTGATTCCTAGCATCCCGTATGGATTCCTAGCATCCCACACCACCAGGAGTAATTCTTGAGCGCAGAGCCAGGAGTAACTCCTGTGCATCGCCGGGTGTGAACCCCTCCTAGAATTCTTGGGTAGAGAAATTAAGTAGAATCAAGTTACTTAATTATTGACCACAAGCTAGAGACTACGCCCAAGTGGTGGAGCAAAGAGCTTTGCAAGTGGGCCAGGAGCTAACACCACCAACCCAAACACTGCTGCACGCAGCTGCCACAACAGAAAATCATCGAGGCGCAGGGAGCCTTGCACGGGCGCACCCACGGCACCCCATATGGCCCCCTGAGCCAGCCAGGAGTGACTGCTGAGTGCACAGTCAGGGGTAAGCCCTGAGTACAGCAGGTGTGGTCCCAAAGCGAAAAAAGAAAAAAAGATGAAGAAAGATCACGGGAAAAGCCGTCATTGGCGCTTGTGCGGAGATCTGACTTCGCAAGCCTGTGGCCTGGAATTCCCAACGTGGGGTCTCCCCCGCCATCAGCGCCCTCATGTGGTGGCTCAGGCGCACTGCGCTCTGGGGTCCTTGGCACCACAACCAAGTGTGAGCCCCAGTAAAAGCCACAAAAAAGGGAAAAAGAAGGAGTTTTTAAAAATTAAGTGTTTGTAGAGATTTTAGCCACCTCAGGAAAGTGATCCAAACTGCCTGGACTTTGCAAAGTTCATGAAACTCACAGCCAAAGCATGCAAACGCTTTTTGCTCACGACAGTGCAGAGCTGGGGAGGGAGCCCAGGGCACTGGCTTCTTGGGCAGACCCGGGTGAGACTTCCGGTGCCCGCATAGGAGCACAGAGCCAGGAGTGAGCCCTGAGCACAGCTGGGTGTGGCCCTAGTGTGGCAAAATAGTGAATGCTGATTTACTTGCTGGCATATGAAATTAAAGATTTCTTTTGGGACCAGGAGGATGAAGGGCTCTACACGCTGTAACCTGGGGCTCTATCTCTGGACGGCCCCCCCAGCCCCCACACCCAACCCCCACCTCTGGCCCTGATTGGTGCCAGATGTTGACCCAAAACCCCAAACGCGATTTACTAATGAGAATAGGGGCTTGTGGTTGAATCTGCTTCTTACAGCATTCACGGACCTGTAGACTTGAGTTTGGTTTTGTGACACGCTTAGTACATCAAGAGCGGAAGCATCTGTCCAGACAGAGTGAAATAATGGAGGAGCCGGGAGGAGCTGGTTCAGAATGGACACACCTGTCCAGAGGAGGCTGCAGAGAAGCTGGGCTGTTAGGGGAAGGAACCCCGGGATAAAGCTGCTTCTGAGTTCCTAAGCAACACCACCCTCCAGCCAGGGTGTTTATTCTGCAGGAGGGGCTGCCCAGGTGCTTCTTCCCCCTCCCCTTCATGCCTGCCCAGGTGCTTCTTCCCCAGATCACCCCCTGGGAAACCCCTGGAGCTGGTCTCTGGATTGTTCTGACTGGGGCTCTGCGATGTCCAGTATTGTCATTGGAGGTTTCCCATGCACGTGATTCTTCTCCCTCAAGGATCCCACCCCTCCCTCTCACACACTGCCCCTCTCCCCTCAAACTCAGCTAAGTGTACCAGTTCTCCCTGTATTACCACTGGTCCTCTGTGTCTCTTCAAGTCCCATGTGAGAGATCGTTCTGTGTCTGTCCCTTTCCATCCCAGGACCAGCCAGCACCACTGCAAGAGCTTATCCCAGCGCCCAGAAGTTCAGTGGCTATGGATTGAACCTAGGTGGGATGTACGTATCTGAGCAGCCCTGGGGGAGCTGCCAGGTGGAATACTACTCAGCAATTAAAAAGAGAACCCGCCTCTCAGCTCTTGCATGCCTGAGCATGCATACCCTTGAGCACACATATGCCTGAGCACATGCAAACCCAAGACGTGCATGCCTGAGCACACACATGCCCCTGAGTGCGCACACGCACGAACAACCTGGCTGATCACATTAGGTGGACTTGGCAGGAAGTAAAGGACAATTCCCGGATGGTTTCTCTCCCATTTTGGAATATAAATAACCAAAGCAAACAAACAAGGCAGATCAAAGTGAGTCTGGACTCCATGGGATAAAGGACGGCTGCCCTCGGGGTGGGAAGAAGGAGCAGCAGGAGACATGCCCCAGGGAGGAGTCAGACGCAACTCTGGCTGGCATTGTAACATGCGGCTGAGAAAACCTGAAGGAGGGGCTCACGGAGCCAGGAGTGGGCACATATTCCTCTTCCCTAGTGCTCTTTGAACCTTTCCATTTTACTTGGACATGTGTGACTTCTATTTCAGATGCTCATCACGAATATCTTGTAATGATGCTGGTACTTGAATCCCGTGTCTCACACATGCAAGGCAACGGCTGTCTTCCCTCTGTTCCCTGGACCCCCTACGAGAATTTATCATCAGAGTACACCCAGGGGGAATGAATGCCAGGGGCCTCTTCCTGGAACAGCATCCACTTCCCCGGCTGCATGCCCCAGGGGTCAGTTTCACTGTGTGTGGGAACAGGAGGCACCATCAGCTAGCAGACAGGACTCGGCTACCCAGTGCTGCTGGGGACCCAGTGACCATGGCCAGGCCCTGCAGGCTTCACCCAGATGGCAGTAACTACCCTCAGCTGTGGCTTTTTTGCAGTCTTTTCTGGGGGGGGGGCGGCGGTGAGGGTCGGGGAGCGGAGGGAGGAGGAACTGAGTTATCATCTAGACCATCTTTGTTTTTCCTCTCATTTCTGTTCTGTTTTTGCACTTCTCAGCACATGGGGGGGGTTTCTGCACTCTTGGGTCAGTCTTCTTTCAAAATCTGTCCTCACCCCATTCATCACACCCTCTTCTCCACCCACCCCATAAACACCATCTCCTGGGTTTCCCCAGGGTTTTTCCTTATCTCCAACCCCTCAGACTGAGACTTAGGATATTAGAGAGCCCTCTCAGGATTCTCGGGCCATCAGGGCAGCCGGTCCCAGTCGGAGGTCGGTGAGAGCGAGAGCGGTCAGCGCGCCATCACATGCCAGGTGTGATCGAGCTGTGATTAGCTGTGCCTCGGGAAATAACAGCAGCATGGCTCCAGTTCCCGACTGTATCTGGGGCTGCAAACCACCACAGCAGAAGGGCAGAGAAGTTGGTAACGTTCCCACAGACAAATTTCCCACTTTTCCCCAGCTAGGCGAGGCTGCTGGAACTCAGACCGAATTTCCGTTTTCTGCTTTCCCACACAGCTGCAGGGTGGCCCTGCCTGTGCACACACAACCACCTACGGCCACCACAAGACCACAACTCAGCTCATGCCCCACTTCCTACTTAGCTACTCACACAGTTTCTGTCCCTCCCTCCTGAGTCTCCACACCCGTGAGCAGAGGCCTGGGCATCGGGGAGGCCCCAGACCCATCTCCACGAACTGTACAATAAAAGTCAGCTTCCTAAGCATCTCAGTTTTGTTTAAAATCTTTCATACAATCCTCAAGAACCCAGAGCTAGGGAGAAATCCACTTTCAGGCTCACAGTTGGATCACTGCTGAGACCAGCCTGAACTACGTCACATTCCCCTATATCGGTGCACGGATATGTGGAAGAAAAAGTAACCTGGGAATTTGTTACTTTTTTGTTACATCTGTTACCATTTCCACACCTTTATAGAGACGCTTTTGCCAGACAAGGAATTTGGGACATGCTTCTCTCTGGAACTGCAAATGTATCAACCAGGTGAATGCCAGAAGCACGGTCATCCTGTGTAATGATTAGGGCATATGAAAAAAAAAAATAATTCAGCCGTGCAATTGGAAAGGAAGCACAGGCAGAGGTTAGATAAACAAAAATTGGCTGCAATAACAGGGAAGACTGGAGCAGGGCTAGTGACGTTTAGAAAATATCTATCATCAATGCTTTCATTAGTTCCAGAATTGGCATTGGTCTCACAAGTCCCCCAAATCCTCAGGGTCAGACAGTGTTAGGTGCCGAGAGGAAGAAGGGCCCAGATGCCATTAGGCACGTGGACGAGGCCAGGAAGCCCAGCAGAGGCAAGAGCCTGAACCCAGGAGACAGGCGAGACTGGGGACCTCTGGAGGCAGCGCTCCCCAACAATACACTTCTGGGATAAGAATTATCCGGGAGTCTGCCAAAGAAAAATGTTATTTTCCTTTTGGGATGGCTGCCAGATACAAAGTACCAAACAAATAGCTCTAGGTAAACTGGTAAAACAATAAGTGCAAACAACGTTTCAACAATTAGAAAGTTTCTTTGGTTGGGGGGTGAGGGGGTTGAACAGTCCCAAGGGTGCTCAGGGCTGACCTCTGGCTCTGCACTCAAGGGTCACTCCTGGCAGGGCTTGGGGGTTCATGGGGGATGCTCTAACCCAGGTCAGAAGCTCCGGTGGCAAAAGACCTCCCTGCTGTACTTGTTTTAAGTTACCATGGAAGAAAAGATCAATAGCTTGTAGAACATACAAGCTGTATAAAGCTTCCCAAGATTCAAAGAAGATATGGAGAATAACATTTTTTTTTTTTAAAAGAAGGGCTGGAGCAATAGCACAGCAGTCAGCAGTAGGGCATCTGCCTTGCGCACAGCCAGCCCGGCCGAGCCAGGTTTGATTCCTCCGCCCCTCTCGGAGAGCCCGGCAAGCTACTGAGAGTATCTCGCCTGTGGCAAAGCCTGGCAAGCTCCCTGTGACGTATTCAATATGCCAAACACAGTAACAACAAGTCTCAAAATGGAGACTTTCTGGGTCCGCTTGAGCAAATTGATGAACAACGGGAGGACAGTGTTTGTTTGTTAAAAAAAGAACTGTCTCATATGGAGTTCATGCCTGCTTCAGTCAGCTTAATCCATAGCTGAATAAATGGCGCTACTCTTACGTATAAATTATAAAGAACTGCCTCATTGGCCTCTTGAAGCGGTGTTTGCTTTTCTCCTCAATAAACATCCTTGTGCTGGGGGGACATTTGAACTCCCCTTCGTAAGCTCTCCTCTCAGCCTGTTGATCTCTAACGACCATTCACACTGACATCAGTGGTGTTATTTCTTCACCAAACAGCAGCTGTTAGCCGCATGTTTCAGGAAGTGGGTGCAGAGCTGCAGAGTGTAGAAAACATCCAGGACGGAGTTTTAAGTCCCGGGTGGTACCTCGGGCAAGTTCCTTTAGTTCTGAGTCTGGTGTGAAACCGAACCAACGCGCTAGCCGAGGGCCTGCGGCTGCTCTGAGAACAGCACCGCTAACTCGCCGACGGGCTTGAGAGTCCCCCTCCTCAGCTGAAGCAGTTTAAACTCCTCAGCACACAGGTCAAGCGTCTGACCTGCAAGAATGAGTCACCGAGCAGCCCCCCTTTCCCCAATACTGCCTGGTGCAATCCTGGAAGCCCTCAAGCACTGCTGGGGGCCTCAGATTTGAAAAAAATTCTGACATCTGCCCAACAGTCACTGTCCCCTTTGGGACACTCCTGGAACTAGCAAAGGATGCTTTGCTATGCAGCCAGGAACCGAGGTCGGGAGCGAGAATGATCAGGCAAGACCAGAAACTGAGCAGAGTCACGAGTGTAAAAGCTCCACAAAGCCCCGAAACACCAAACTATGGTTCACACCGTAAACAAAACACAGCCACGACACATCCCAGCTGCCCCCGGATCGGCAGCAGCTGCTGATGGACCTAAGGTAGGACGTGGATTCTCCTCTCTAGTTTTCTGATTGAAGACAGCGAGAAGATAAACAGTACTAGGTCCCTCCAGGTTTCCTGCAGACGTTCCGGCCTGGGCCGCTTCCTGTCCTTTTCCCTGTGGCAAGCCTGGGGTTCCGAGGAAGTAGCTGTTTGCTCCAGACTAAAGCACAAAGGGCTTCACCAGGAAAGAGACAGGGTGGGCCCAGGTCTGCAGGGGGAGCAGCGTGAATGGGGTCTCCTGGGAGTTCAGCAAGCACGATGGAGGCAGCTAAGTGTAGCTTACCAGCAAGTCCCGGGCCCTCGGTCCTCACATTTCACATCAGAGGCAGAGTGCAAACCTCCGGACTCAGTGTGGGCCACAGAACACATCCGCTTTTAGGATGAAGTCCCACCTTTGGGGAGCGGAGACTCTGCATCCCATCAAGGGTCATTCATTTTTTTTTTTTTTTTTTTTTTGCTTTTTGGGTCACACCTGGCGATGCACAGGGGTTACTCCTGGCTCTGCACTCAGGAATTACCCCTGGCAGTGCTCAGGGGACCATATGGGATGCTGGGAATCAAACCTGGGTCAGACGCATGCAAGGCAAACACCCTACCACTGTACTATGGCTCCAGCCCCAAGGGTCATTTCTTTGTGTTTCCCAAGTTCAGGCCTTCAGGTCCGGGGTTCCAGAATGAGGAACTTGGGACTAGAGACAGCTCAGGTGGGCTAAGGCTGACACATGTGGCCCACCCCAGTTGGATGCTAGGCACCTCTGGGATATGGCCTGGAGGTCCTGAAGTGCTGAGGGTAGAGGACCCGCATCCTGCCTGAACCCGCAGCCTCCTAAGCACAGCTTGGGGCGTGCCCCCCACCTCAAAAAAAAAAAACAAAAATAGAGAACTAAGTCAAGGTTAAGTGACCCTGCGTAGGCAGGTGTCTGCGCCTTTCCCCGGTAGGTCTGTGCTGGCAAGACAGAGGAAATTCATCTCTGGGTTTAAAAAACTCACCTGTTTGGTTAGCAGAGTTTCCTTGTAACGCAGTATTCTCTGAGCCTGATGACCCCCCTGCAAAAGGAAAGAGAAACTGAGGAAAGAATACTCCATGTGGAAAACAATATCCGGCCACATCTTCCTTCTATCCCTGGGCTGGGCTCGGGGAGCTTTCACAGGAAGCTGCATGTTTGTCCCTGTGGCCGGAAGGCTGGCCAAGACCCTGACTCCAGCCAGCCAGCCTGTCCTTTCCTCTTCCGGAAAATGCTATTTGTGAGAGGGAGAATGAAGGGCAGAGGACAGGAGGCCCCCCAGTAACCCCCAAATACGTGGCTTTTTTTAAATCTCGTATCTGGTTTGGGGGCCACACCCAGAAGTGTTCTGAGGTTGTTCCTAGCTGGGGGGATAAGTGGGTCAAAGTTGTGGCAGTCATAGTGAAGTCCCTGACCTGTACTCTCTCTCCAGTGTTCACGGTGCATTTTCTAGACAGAAAACAGTGACTGCGACAGTATTCCTGGAGGCCACTGTGCACTGTGCATTGCCCTGGTCTGACCCCTCCAAGAGAGGACAGTGGGAAGAAGCACCTCCAGATTGCATATGATCAACACCCCAAACTTCATACAATCGAGAGGTGATGAAGTAGGCAGGTCTACTATTTTGGGGGGAGCCACACTCCCAGGAGTGCTCAGTGCTCCCTTATTCCTAGTTCTGTACTCAGGGATCACTCCTGGCAGGCTCAAAGGATCAGATGGGATGCAAGACAAACGTCCAACCCACTGGCCTATCGCTCCAGTCCCAGGATTTTCATTTTGAATTGATGCCTTCATGGTAGGAGCTGGATAAAGCCTAAAGAATTCTATGCCCCAGCAGTTGGGCAACTTTTCAGAATGTTTAATTCAGGTTGGGCCTTTTTTATAAGTGAGCTATATAAGTACCCAGCGCATAGTGAGAGAGGAAGTAGTCTGCTTCCCACAAAGCTAGCACCTGCACCTCAAGGGAAAACCCCCAATACAAATCCCACAGGCTCCACTGTCACTGTGTTCGGGGTTCTTTCTGCATGGACCCACACTCCCTTCCATCCCCAAAAGCAAGGTTGGGACTCTCTACAGATGCGGCTGCTTGCTGAGAACCCAGTCACTGCCGGTGCTGTGGAGTTCCGAGCCTGGCCTTGTGAGGGGCACAGAATCTGCACAGAAGTTGGGAGAAGCCTTTCAGAAATCCCAAAAAGGGGGCAGCTGTTTGCAGTGAGTCACAATCGGATCTGGACCGGGCGGTGGGGAGGTTGACACGGAGCATCAGAATCGAAACGCTGATTTTCCCCAGGAAAAACTCTTCTTCCCTAGCTGCGGCACCACTGTTCAACCTCCAAATGAAAAGTTGCCCCTTTGATTCTCTCTCTTGATGCTGAAGTCTGATTCATCAGCAGTGATTTCAGTGCACCCTGAAAACAGGCCTAGAGCTCCTCCCCACACTTGCCTTTAACTCTTAGGGATCATTTCCTGCCCCCACCCCGCCTTTGAGGAAGAGTTTCCAGCTCTGAGATCTTTCTTCCTTTTTCCAGAATATACTTAGGAAGCACCTCCAGTGCTTTCAACTCTAAAAGACAATGTAGTGGGGATGGCCAGGTGTGTGTGCTACCCAGCAGGGAAGACAGAAAGACTGAGTAGGAAGATAACAAGGCACTAAATGGAGGAAAAGAAAGTTAAAGCTACTAAGTGGAATAGACTAAGTATTCATTTCAGCTTCGAAGTGATACTCCTTATGGTTCGCTTTTGCTTTGGGGTTACATCGGTGGTGCTCAGGGATCTCTCCAGGTGGTGTGTGAGGACCTTATGCATTGCCGGGTCTAATCAGGGTTAGCGGTGAGTAGCAGAACCCTTGCAATATATCTCTCTGGCCCTGGCAACTAGTTAAGCCTGGGGCTTGCTTTAGAAAGTTCCTGTTACTTGGACCCCCACCCCCATCCCTCTCCGAAAAGCTCCGGCAATTAGATTTTTCTGGTCAGTAATTCATTAAAAGAAAGGTTTACTTTCACAAAATAACGAAGTGGAGAACCCCCTACCCCCATAGATATAGATATAAAATTAGTATCAAGATACACAGGTTGGGCTCAGATTTTTCACTTTTACAATAAAACATCCTCCCAAAAGACTGAACACGGGATAAGCATGATTTCACGGATGGTTCCTTTCCTCAGTGAGCTCAGAATGAGGCATGCAGGGCCAGGGCATCGCACCTGCGACCCGGCAAACAACAGAATCCGGCAGAACAGAAACTGCCCATTGTCCAGCTGGCCCAGCTGGCGCGAGGGGGGTACCCGTGGAGCCCCCGCAAACGGTCGTCTTTGTCTTCCTGCTGGGGCGAAAGGCGCTTCGGGGCGACGCACGCAGTGCTCGGAGCGAATTTTAAACCGGGAGCCGCCGGGGATGGGTGGGGTGGGGGGTGGGCGCGGGGCCTGGGGTTCCCCCTGAGAACTTGGGTCTCTTTATCGGAGTTTTCCCAACTCGGGTCCCTTTCCCCGACTTCTCCGGGAGCTGGGACGGCTGACAAAGGGGAGCCCGCGTTTGCACGGAGCGCGCGAGCTCCGGGGTCGCGGTGGGCGCGAATTGGGCCGGGTCCCCGCAGAGGCCTGGGCGGGGGGGTGGGGGGGGTTCAGCAGCGCTGCGCACCGGCTGAGGTCCGGCAGGAGGGGGTGCCCCTGCCCGCTCCCTGCCCGCTGCCTCCGGACGCTGCGCAGAAATCGGGGTGCCCCGAAGCCCGAGACAGCGCCGGCCCCGGGACCCCCTCCCTCGCGCCCCGCGGTCACTCACCCGCTGAGTCCAGCCCGTCCACAGCCGCCTTGAGCAGCGCCATGACCAGCAACACCCCCAGGGCCAGCGCGGCCCAGGCCCCCCGCGCGCCCAGCCCCATTGTTCCCGCGGCCGCGTGCGCTCCCGCCAGGTGCCGGCGCCCCGACGCCCCTCGCGCCGCCCACGGGGCCGGGCCGGACCGGGCGGGGCGGGGCCGGGCAGGGCGGACCCGGCGGGCGGGAGCGGCGCGGACCCGGGACGCAGGGCGCGCGCGCGGGTTGCCCGTCGGGGTCGGTTCTGCCCTTCCGACGCCGAAACCAGAGCCGGTGCCGGAAAACCCCTCCAGCCCGTAGGGAATCCAAGCCGGGCAATTCCCCCCACCTGCCCGCTTCCCTCTGGCCCTGCCCTCGGAGGTCACTCCTGGCCGGACCAGATGGGGCCTGAGATGGAACCTCTATAGAGCCCTGCCTGCGGTACGCGCCCTTGGCCCCAGGGTGGGCCTTTCTCATCCCACCGGCCGGGAGCTCGGCCAGCCGGGTCACTGCCTCCTGGACACGCAGCAAACTGCACGTGGCCGGGGTGAGCCGCGTCTGGGCTGGGAAATCGTTGTCCTGCGAACTTCCCCGGACCATTGTGTCCCCATGTGTGAATCCGGGCTCAGTGGCTCCTGGTGCACCTGCACAGAGGTACTGGTTCTGAAAGGCCCCCTCCCGCTCCCTCCACATTCCCTGGACATCCGCATGTGCGAGCCTGGGGTGAAGTCACACATGCCACCAGGTGGGCACTGAGGAAACGTGGGGGATAAGATGACAATTGTCAGGTCCTGATTGCCTGAACTGCAGCCGACGCGCAGGTCTGCTCTGGTGTCTGATTTCCGCACCAGGACAACCTCCTCAGGTTGGCTCTGATCTGCCAATGAAACAGTCCATCAGCATACCAGCGGGCAAAGGAGATGAAACATTACTCAGTCATGAAAAGGAACAGAGACTCTGCTGTGCACCTGGATGAACCTTGAAAACATTATGGAAAGGAAATAAACCCGGACAAATATCATGCACTTCCATTTATGTGACATGCCTACAGCGAGCAGGTTCAGAGAGACCAAAAATAGGTTATTAGGTGCCAGGTGGCAGTTGTTTCATAGGTACAAAGAGTTCATGTTGGGGTGATGGAAAGGTTTTGGAAAGATTAGTAACAGTTGCACAGCATTGTAAGTTACTGCTGCTGTATATACATAAACTTGCTGCTGGGCCTCGGGAGATCATGCAGCTGAGTGACATCAGGGGACTGGAGTACTCACCCCACCCCTCACGGACCCCCAGGCTCTCAGACTGGCCCTGGTGACTGTGGGCACAGCCAGGCCCTGACACAACCATTGTAGCACTGCTGGCCCAGTGTCACCGGCAGAGGCATCTGGGTCCTCAGAACTGCCGGGAGCCCTAAATGGGCTAAAATTAGCAAGATTTCTATGTTTTACTGCAGTCAAAAAAGGATTTAATGAGTATTGGGGGGGTACAGGGGTGCTGGGAAGCTGTTCCTGGGAGGGATCCTGCCCAGGGCTGGGCCTTGTGCTCCAGCTCTTTAAGTCACTGATGAGACATTGCTCTAGTGTCTCTGTTCTGATGTGCCAGGGCAGGAGGATACTGGGGGGGCTGTGAAGGTTGTTTCTCCGGGACTCTGCAAAGACAGACCACCGCACCCAAGTGTTGCTGTGAGCCAGATCCAGTCACAAGGGTGTTTTGATCAATTTTTGAATTGTTGACCAATGAAGTTTTTAAGATTTAAAAAAAAAAAAAGAGTTGCTAACAATGGAAAAGCTAAAAAAATTCAGGTTTCTTATTCTTCTTGAAACACGGGAAACTTGGCCGCAACTTGTCCATCTCCTCCACTGGATGGCTGGTGAGTCAGCTCCAACGTTAGGGGTTAGGGTGTTCGTCCCAGAGGCCCTGCTTCCTGCCTCCTCCCAGCTGGCCTCATTAATCTCTTTCCCTGCATGCTGGGCCTGTGTCCCCACTGCGGAGCTACTCTGCCTGGAGATCCCCATGCTGGGTTGTCAGGCTCTTGAAAGAAAAGTGGCGATGGAAATTTCCCCCATTTAGTTTCTTTCGGGGGGTCGTTCTGGGCCACTGCGGCCTCTGAGTTCAGGTTCTGTGATTGACACCCATGGGGGTAACGGACTGTGCACTGGGGGTCATGAAAGATCCTTAAAGCTTGATGGCGATGTCCCAGAATATTCAGCTGTTTAAAAACTAGTTTTCAAGTCTCATTTTCCTGTTTTGTTTTTTGAAAAAACGTCAGAGGTATTTCATGCACGCCCGAAGGGGTTTCAACAATATGGAGAAGCACATAAAAGGCTGTTTCCTGTCAGCCCAGGCTGGTTCTGTCCCACCCTTTGTTTTCACTTGGAGTTGATGCTGTTTTTGTCTGAGCACATGTTAACGTTAGAATTGATGTGTACTTAACTGTTAGCTAATGCTTCTTTATCTCAACTTGGACAGATTTACCCTTGGTTTATAATTGTGCATACATTTATTTGATTGTTGAAACATGGACTAGGCTTCCCCCCTCACTTATACTACACTGTTTTTTTAAACTTTTATGAGATAAAAGCTCACTTTTTAATTTGATAACATTGTGATCAGTTTTTTCCTGCATATGTCCATCTAGTTATGCTTTATTCTGTGTAATATTTGCAATCCATTTAGAATATTGAAATAATTCACGGTAAAACTATGCTTTGAGCACACAGTAAGGGCATCTCTGATTTCTGCTCACATAGATGGCTGCCAGCTTTAATCTAGGGTCCAGCAGTGTGCTGAGAGTAATTCTGAGCAGCAGGTTCTCAGAAGTGAGATGGTTTAGTCGATGGCGGTATATTTATTTCTAAGCATTTGGCCAAAATTGTAAGTGCCCTTTGCAATGTAGATTCCCTCCTTGTTGGTGCCAGGCAAAAGTTCTGTTGGCTTTTGTCCGTGTGTAGGTAAATGAAAGTCTCATCTTTCTTGGTTTGGGTTCCCCCCCCCCTCTGCTGGGCGGCATGGGGGGAGGGTGGTTCCCGTGACTGTGCCCAGGAAGTGAAAATTCACATTTGCACTCAGGGCAGTCCGGTTTATTTCTACATTATTTTCTATAATTATTCCTTCAGTGGAAGAAGGAAGTTTTACTGAGGCTTGAAAAACCTTTTCTTGTTAACTAGCTGGGCCCCGCGACCCTTTGGCGTGACAAAAAGGCGGTGGCTTGAGATCCAACCTAGTAAATACTCATCACTGCTTCAGAGTACTTGTTCCAATTGCTCTTTTCTCTGGCCTAGCTTTCTTGCTCGCTGTAAATCATAAAACGCCAGTAACATGTGTCTGTCAGGAAAAACATCTTCAACTAGCTGAAAGTCTACATAAAGAAAACACTTTTTATCTGTTCATACTTAACTATTCAGAGGGTTTATTTACCTGGACTTACACATCCACCTTCAGGCTAGGAAGGTGTAGTGGGTTGATACTGTTGGTCAGTGCCATAAAGTTCAGCATTTGGGCTTTATTTCTGCCACTTCTAACCGTGGAGCAGAGGCCACAAGCTGACACTGGTCCCAGGGTCCTCACAGAATATGTGGGGAAGTTTGTTTGATAAAAGGATCTTAAACATCCCTCCCACTGCCCAAAGCAACAGGGACAGGGGCATAGCTGCCTGGCTGCCTGGGCATTGTGCCCCCCACATCCCCAGCTGGCCTTTGGTCTGTCCCCTCCTCTTTTGTCTACAAGCCGCAGCCAGTTCCTGAGCTTGTCTGGGTTCCCACAACCATCGAATTAGAATGATAAGTAGCACTGATGTCATGTGGTATTAGAGAGGAAACACGAGGCCGAGCATGGTCCAGCAGCAATGGATGCTGGGAACTCAGCCGTGTCAGCACAAGGCAAGAAAGGCAAAGTCAATCCAGGTGCCAACACAGAGACAGGGGAGGGAGAGAGGGGGGGGAGAGACAGAGACAGAGATATAGAGACACAGAGAGACAGAAAGAGGAGAGTCAGAGACAGAGAGAGGAAGGGAGGGAAGGAAAGAGAGAGGGAGGGAGAGAGAGACAGAAAGAGATAGAGAGAGGGAGAGAGAGACAAAGAGAGAGACAGAAACACAGAGAGAGGAGAGTCAGAGACAGAGGCAGGGAGAGGAGAGAGAGATGGAGAGAGACAGAGAGACAGAGAGATAGAGACATAGAGAGACAGAAAGAGGAGAGTCAGAGACAGACAGAGAGAGGGAGGGAGGGAAGTAAAGAGAGAGGGAGGGAGAGAGAGACAGAAAGAGATAGAGAGAGGGAGAGAGACAAAGAGAGAGACAGAAACACAGAGAGAGGAGAGTCAGAGACAGAGGCAGGGAGAGGAGAGAGAGATGGAGAGAGACAGAGAGACAGAGAGATAGAGACATAGAGAGACAGAAAGAGGAGAGTCAGAGACAGACAGAGAGAGGGAGGGGGGAAGGAAAGAGAGAGGGAGGGAGAGAGAGACAGAGAGAGATAGAGAGAGGGAGAGAGAGACAAAGAGAGAGACAGAAACAGAGAGAGGAGAGTCAGAGACAGAGGCAGGGAGAGGAGAGAGAGATGGAGATAGAGACACAGAGAGACAGAAAGAGGAGAGTCAGAGACAGACAGAGAGAGGAAGGGATGGAAGGAAAGAGAGAGGGAGGGAGAGAGAGACAGAAAGAGAGAGAGAGAGGGAGAGAGAGACAAAGAGAGAGACAGAAACAGAGAGAGGAGAGTCAGAGACAGAGGCAGGGAGAGGAGAGAGAGAGATGGAGAGAGACAGAGAGACAGAGAGATAGAGACATAGAGAGACAGAAAGAGGAGAGTCAGAGACAGACAGAGAGAGGGAGGGAGGGAAGGAAAGAGAGAGGGAGGGAGAGAGAGACAGAGAGAGATAGAGAGAGGGAGATAGAGAGAGGGAGATAGAGGGAGATAGAGAGAGGGAGATAGAGTCAAAGAGAGAGACAGGCAGAGAGAGAGAGGAGAGATGGAGAGAGACGGAGAGAGTGAGAGAGAGACTCTGCATTTTCCAGCATTAGAGGGAAAGTAAGGGAATGTAAAAATAACAACAGGAAGTGGGGCCGTCTCTTTGGGGTGCTGGGCTGCATGGCCAGCCCTGGAGGTCCCTGTGTAATCCGTACTGTTTCTGACGGCCCAGCACTGGCGGTCGGTCGCTGTATTCTCAGGCCCCCCCCCACTAAACGTTAACTGTGAAAGGAAAGATGGGCCCATTCACGGGAAATCCCCCGTTCTCAGAGGCAGCTCCAGGCAGTGCCAGGTCTGGAGGGCCCTAAGTGTGGCTGTTTATGTTTTTTTCACTGGGTTGTTTGTTTTGGGGGCTACACACAGCTGTGCTCAGGGCTCACTCCTGGTTCTGGCAGGGCTTGGGGGCCGTCTGCAGTGCCGGGAACTGGACCCTGGTTAGGGGCATGCACACTGGTCGTGGCCAGAGCCTCGATTCTCTTAAGGTCACTCCTGCCTGCCAGGACCTTGCTGCTCTTCCTCAAGGTCAGCTCAGAGGGACACTGCCCTTTCACTTTACTTATTGAGCATTTCATTCCTGCCCAGAGCCCGTGGAAGCCGTGCTGCAGTTTTGCGCATGTGTGTATGTGCATGTGCATGCGTGTGTGTGTGTGTGTGTGTGTGTGTGTGTGTGTGTGTGTGTGTGTGTGGTGTGTGTGGGGGACACAGATCCTGGCTAGAGACCAGTGCTGGCCCCCCCGGGAGAGAGCCAGGCAACTGCCACATGCTGTCTCTGTGCGCTCGGCTGTTTAATCTAGCTTTCATGTTGTTTGGGCCAGTGAATGTTAATTAATTGGGGGCTACTCCCAGCAGCCCTGGAGAACCATAGTGGGATCTGTACTCCCTCAGGTGCTCTCTCCCCAACCCCAGGAGCGCCCTG